TCTGTTTAAATGCTTTGTGTTTTTGCCTCATCGGACCACGCAGCCCGCGACTAATTTACCAGCGCCTTGCGTCTCCTCTGAGTCTCCGTGGTTCAAATGGCGGCCAGAGTCGCCCTGTTTTGCAAAGATGTCCTGGCCGCTCAGACGGCCAGTAAAAGGTTGGAGTCAGTTAAGTTTGGGTGCTTTGCTTTGATCGAAGATGAAGCCTGGAACGATGTGCAGGCGTTACTGCAGCTAGTGTTTCGATTCACAATGCAGTTTCCCTGCCATGAGTCTCGCCTACTTATAACATCACTTATAAGTTCCGCAACAGTAGTTATAAGACCCACAACATAAGTTATAAGTACTAATAAGTACCATAAGTTCTTGAAAAGTTAGCGTACTTACGGCGGGACTTATAAGCAACATTAAGACTTTCACTGAGGCAATAACTGGGAAGTACAAACAAGATACAAAAAACAAACAAACAACAAAAACAATACAAACCAACAATACACACTGAAAAACAAAACAAAAAAACACCCCGGGGAAAAAGCAAAACAAGAAAACAGAAAACAAACAGACAAAAAACAGAAAACAAACAATACGCATGCACAGAAAGAGGGAAACAGGGATGCCTGGTCTGCCCCTGAAGTGTCCCGGGCGGCATTTCGTTGTTTATTTGTTCTTTTTTGTTCTTTTTTTGTTCTTTTTTTGTTTTTTCCTCGTGTTTTTGCACATTTTGGATGCCTGGTCTGCCCCTGAAGTGTCCCGGGCTGCATTTTGTTTTTTATTTGTTTTTTGTTTGTTCTTTTTTTGTTTTTTTCATCGTGTTTTTGCACATTTTGGATGCCTGGTCTGCCCCTGAAGTGTCCCGGGCGGCATTTGTTTGTTTATTTGTTCTTTTTTTGTTATTTTTTTGTTTTTTTCCTTGTGTTTTTGCACATTTTGGATGCCTGGTCTGCCCCTGAAGTGTCCCGGGCTGCATTTTGTGTTTTATTTGTTTTTTGTTTGTTCTTTTTTTTGTTTTTTTCATCGTGTTTTTGCACATTTTGGATGCCTGGTCTGCCCCTGAAGTGTCCCGGGCGGCATTGTTTTGTTTATTTGTTCTTTTTTTGTTATTTGTTTTGTTTTGTTCCTTGTGTTTTTGCACATTTTGGATGCCTGGTCTGTTCCTGAAGTGTCCCGGGCGGCATTTTTTTGTTTATTTGTTTTTTTTTTTGGTTTTTTTGTTTCATCGTGTTTTTGCACATTTTGGATGCCTGGTCTGCCCCTGAAGTGTCCCGGGCTGCATTTTGTTTTTTATTTGTTTTTTGTTTGTTCTTTTTTTGTTAATTTTCATCGTCTTTTTGCACATTTTGGATACCTGGTCTGCCCCTGAAGTGTTTCTGGCTGCATTTTGTTTGTTTTTTATTTGTTCTTTTTTTTGTTTTTGTTGTGTTTTGTTGTTTGTTTGTTTCCGCGTCTGTATTTTTATCTTTTTGCTGATTTTCCGTGATTGCCTATCTCTGAGGGTCATAAAAGTAACATATAGGTTTTTTTTGTGGAACATACTTAGCAGACTTACAAACTACTTACGCTACCTACGATTTTTGTTTGTTTTCAAGGGTCCGCGCAGAGCATGCTCTTCCGGCACTGGAACGCTGTGCTTTTTTAAGGAAGTAGACGCAATGCAGAGCGAAGCGAAACCTTTTCTTAAAAGAAAGACATGGCGAGGCTGGGCGGCAACTCAAAGAGATGGAGGAAACAAAGAAAAAGGGGAGGGCGGGTCTGGGAAGGGGGAGGGCGGGGCTGCAAAGAATGGGAAGGGGGAGGGCAGGGCTGGTTCTTTGCTTTTCACCCCTCTTCCTTCTATTTCTAAAGAAAAAGGGCTGGACAATTTGTCACGAGAATGTCGGTAAAATGTCGGTGGATGTCAGCGGGCGTTTGCGGACGTATGCGAATGAAAATGTCGCTGGATGTCGGTGGGAGATACGTCGCTGGGATTCCAAGGGGTTTGGGCAAAAAATGTCGGGGAATGTCGGTGAGCCCCCATCCTGTTGAAATCTTAAGGTCGTAAAATGTCGGTGAATGTCGGTGGGTGCATCGCCAGCATGTCGGTACAATGTCGGTGAGATGCCGGTGGGCTTCGCCCGAATTCGCGAAAAGTGGGCTTCGGCGTATTTGCTTGTATGTTCGGCTCTATAGCTCTTCGTGCACTAACTGCGCGCCGGACTGCTTTGAGCCAAAAAGGCCGCGGTGCGTTTGTTTTGTTTTTTGTTTCGGGGGGGTCCGTGTCCCTCGCCTTTTTCGCACACTGCGGCGCCAATGCCTTTGGAACAACGACAAAGCGTATCCTCTGAGCACGCGCCTATACTCCTTGTGTCCAGAAAAAAGGCCTTCAGACGAGATCAAACGTGTGAACCTGCGCAGCATCACAAAAGGGGGTCCGCAGATCGCAAACTACGTACGCTACTTACGAACTACCTATAAGTCCACCTATAACTAGACTTCATAAGTTGTCCGTAAGTTCATCTCAAGTTCCATAACAGCACTTATAAGTAGGTGAGACTCATGATGGTAGTAACGCCTGACGAATCTAGTTCCGGCATGCCGCAAAGAGCCTAGCGAATCTGCGGTGTTCAGACGACAAGACTGAAGAAAAGCATGCGGATATCACAGGGTTGTGTTTCTCCTTTTTCACCGCACATAAGACTATGGCTTGCCCCGCCTTGTTCCTCGTTGCTGCGTGGGGCATCAGCAGATCGAAGCTTGGGCACGGTGTCTCACCTAGTCCCTCATTATCGTTTTTTCAGATTCCGGGTATGCCAGTGAGGGCTGCCTCTGAGCTTTCTTTGAGCAAGTTGCCCTTCGTCCTGCTTCATTGACAGATGCAGCCCTTGGCATGTGGCGCTTTGTTCCCGAGCGAGGCTCCATGAAATTGTCTGGTGACCTGCGCAAGGTCATTCGCAGTTCCGGTTAATTTGGGCGATGGCAGTTGCGTCAATATTGTTCTGATCAAGCTATAGTACCAAGCCGTGAAAGGTCTCAATGCTCATGCGGTGAGCAGCAGGAGCCGAGGGGACTGAGGACCAATTTCCCAGCAGGGAAAGTGGTTGTCGGGCGGGAAGATTGTTTCTTAGTGTTTGTCAATGTTACATACTGCTTCAGAACCGGCAACCCTCATGCAGTTCCCTGTGATCTTGGGAGGTTTCTCGAAATTACGTTTGGGGGGTTCTACCTGGCTTACAGGGGTTATGGAGGGTCGTCAGAAACCATTCTCAGAAGTAAATTTGACAACTTCGAGAGACCCAGTCCAAAGGAGATGCCTTAAGAACCTTCGAAGCACAGGGAGCTGTAAGTTGCCTGCTGTGAAGGCAACCAAACATAGAACATCAACAAGTTTCCCTCTCCGGCAAGCACTGGCGCCCATCCAGCACTGGGTCGACAATGTAAGGATGTCACTTGAAAGAGCCCAGCTAGACTTGGAGCTTTGTGTCTTGCGCCGTGTCTTGAACAGCTTTTATCCTGGCAACGAACAGCTCAAAGAGCTCAAGCCACGGACAGAAAACCAGTGCCTTCATTGCTTTGCCTCTAGCGGGTCGCGAGGTTGAACTATGCCTCAGCTTACCTGACAGTTGCAATGCCGGATAGGCGAAGTCGCCCACGCAAGCTGCGATTTCAGGTTGCTTACACAAAGTCTTTCTTCATTGCAGAGTCAGACGACCTGCAGCCCTTTTGTTGGTTTGAAGGCTGCTATGATTGTCAGCTTTCCACTGGACCTTCGGCAATTTCGGAGAGGGCAAAATGCCCGTGCTCGTCATTGGGGCAGTCCGGCGCGCGTACCAGTACCACCCTTTCCCCTTTCTAAGTGTCCATGCTCGTCTGAAAGTTGAGTGACCCTTGTGGCCCCTTGGTTGATGGCAGCCAAACAAGGAAAGGACACTTTGCACAGCCCTGCCACTATCTTTCAGCCCACTTCAACCCCTTCCAAACCAACATGGGGGTTATCTGGGAATGTGTCAAAGTGAAAAGAACCCGGAAGTTGTGTTTTCCTCATGTGGTGTCCTAATGTTTGCCCTATTAAGGTTCAACGGGTACCCTCAAAAAGACACACCCACACCCGGACATTTCAATATGTGTTTGAGGGACTTCACTCTTCACAATGCTCAAACTCGAATGTAGATGGTGGGGAGGGAAAGATCCCGACCGAGAACACCTTTTTTTGTCTTTGTTTGTCACCTTCCTAGATGGAAGTTTCCAAAAGAGTTGTGAGAACATGTGTGAAGGTTGGGGGAACCATAAACTGCCATGTTCCACATCTGTTCCATATCTAGGAGCCGGCAGCGGATCTCCATCCTGTCATACTCAAGAATCAAGTTGAGAGCTGGCTCGGGTTGGAGTGGGGTAAGCTGCCTCAAGTATTCGGGTTTCGCTGGGAATGTTTGACTTCCATAGCCAATTTGTAGCCACTGGGCCTCACAGAGCCCAAGAGCGGACAGAGCATATCCTGCACCAACTCGTGGTTTGTCTAGGGCTTCATTCACCCTTGGTCAGGAGTTTGTCCACAGTATGGGGGCAGCTCTGAGAAGGAACAGGAAACCCAGCTTGTTCACCAAGTTTTGACTGCACTTGACGGCTTCAATGATGATTCTATTTTCTGTGGAAGACGCGAAAATATTAGTGTTTTAGCTAGAATGGTTTCAACATGTTTAGTGGATTGGTCAAAATACATCCTTAATCCTTGTGCCAGGTGGTAGTGGGAACCTTGGTGGTGTCCCACTATGGATCCCTCCATATCGTATTCCAGCCAGACCAAGTTAAACAGGTGCCTGGACCCTCAGACTGCTGAAGGGGCAAATCACACAACAAACCATAATCTTGCCATGCGATCCATGTTATTGTGCGTGGGGGCCAGGAACTAAATGGCGCAAGCAGCAAAAAAATGTCCATGGGATCTATGTTGTTTTGCAGTAGACCCCCGAAAACAACATCTGCCTTTGGGAAACCATTTTGAACCCAGGGAGGTTGGCGTGTCACAGGTCATCCCCGCGAGAATGCTGCGGGGGCGAGCCCTGGAGGATCGATCTGGGTGTGTCTTGTGAGGTACCCTCCTGTTTGGTTGGCTTTTAAAGGCTTTTAGAGGAAAGCACAAATGAAACCACCAGGCGTGTCCCGACTTTTTGAGAAAGCCCACAAAGGTGATCCCCCATCACGAGGTCACTGGGCAGTTTTGAGTTCCCCGCAAGCCCATTCTCATCAATTGGGCCCTCATACTGAACGTACAGAAGAATCTTACAAGTTAAGGTATTCCTGCGCACGCTTAACTCCCATTGACACCAAGTCTTGTAACAGATTTCCAAGTTCCTTCAGTTCCTAGTAAGGCAAGCCCAAACAGTGTAGCCTTATATACATATATATGGTCCCGTGTCCCGTGTTGCTCCCCCCCCCCCCCCCCCCAATATGGTATATGGGTCCCCCAGGACCCCCCCCCCCCCCGGGGGCCCGAGACCCCGAGTCCCCGGATCCTGTCACCTACGGTCCCACCCCCACCCCGACCCCCTGAACTCGCACCCCGACACCCCGGCACCCCCACCCCCAGGACAAGCCAACCCGCAACCAACCATAAACTAACCCTAAACTAACCCTAAACCAACCCTAAATACCCCCTAAACCAAACCCTAAACCGTAGACCTCTAAACCTAAACCAACCCTAAATGAACATAAACCAACCGTAAACTAACCCTAAACCAACCCTAAACTAACCCCAAATACACCCTAAACCAATCCCTAAACAATAAACCCTAAACCTAAGCCAACCCTAAACCAACCCTAAACTAACCCTAAATCAACATAAACCAACCCTAAACCAACCCTAAACTAACCCTAAATACACCCTAAATATACCCTAAACCAATTCTAAACCAACCCTAAACCACCACAACCCAACCACAGGACCACAACCACAGGGGGGGGGGTACTTGCCTGACCCATGACCATTGGTGGGGGGGGGGGGGCTGGCAACGCTGTACCATATATAGATTTTCATATATATATATATATATATATATATCACCACACCATGTATGCATTTCGAGTAGCTAAAGGCGAAGCAAGCACCTGGACCCTCGAACTACCCTTCACAAATGGAAGTCGCGTAACTTTGGGGCAATACCCCATTTTTCACCAAGCTCATTGTTATTTCGCATGATGGCGCCCAACAAGCCTTCTGAACTGTCCTCCAACTGTTGGCAAATAAACTGCAACCCCGACAAGTAGGCGGGGCTGTGTTCAGCTCGGGTGTTCGCTTGTTTGCCCGGCGTTTTCCAAACCAAACAAGTCATTTTGGCTTTGTCTCCCCGTTTGGCGGCTCTTGATTGGCTGTAGCAGCTGCCTTGGAAGACGACGGAGCATGTCTGGATTTTGGACATTTGAAAGCACATGGTCAAACGAGTAAAAGCCCATGATGTAGGTCAGTCGCTTCAGGATCCAAATCTAATGTTTGATCTTTAGGAATTATTGCAACATGTGTAGATCTGTGTGGCGGCAATGAGGAAGCGATCTTGGCTATGTACAAAAAACAAGGGGCAAACTGTGAAAGGCTAGCAGCAAACTGACTGTTTCGGTTGCTTGGACAGTACATCATGATACTTTGCGTCTGTCTCAAACTGCAGAACCCTCAGCTCCGATTGACATCAAGCACAAGGACCCCTAAGAAGCCCTTCAAGAAGCAAGCAGGGCAATCGTTTGAGGCGAGTTAGAGTCTTGGGGAGCGGGGAGGGACAATGGTTTACCACCTGACCTGTTACCTTGCCTCACGGCAGGCAGTGGTGTGTGATCCAGATTGAAGTGCGGCCCTGTCTCATCGAACGAGTAGAAGGATGCTACCGTAGCATCAGTGGTGATTTATGTTTGATGTAAAAATAATAGTCATGTGCGCTAGGGTATCATCGAGCGGCCGAACAGCACTATTTTTCTCATGCTGGGTGCTGCAGCCAGAAGAATCACGTGAGGGAGTTTCCTTTGGTTGAGTTGCCGTTTCAGAGGGTGTGAAGCTTTGCTTTTTCGAAATCAGGCCATCCGTGAGCTGCCTGAGGGCTTGCGCCAGACGCTGAGCTACCGTATACCCCCTCTCATGAGTGGATTTAACAACTGGGGAAGACCATGTAAGTGTTCATCAACATGCTTGAGCCTTTTGGGGCCGATCCACTGAGTTATAGAGAGCCTTTGTGCCTTTGTGTTCGCTTCGTGTTGGATTTATTTTGTGTCAGGTCTAAAACCAAGTTGTTGGCTCCTGTAAGGTGACTGCAAATCGGTGTTTCTCTCAATAGTTGCCGCAATGGCTGGTTTCCGTTTGGTTCCTCTTCAAATACCAACCAAACTGAGGTCCAGAGCTCTGTGTCAGCCGACTTGGACCAAAGCTTCAGGTACCGTGAAACTTTGACACCGCCCCAATTTACACGGTCAATGGAAAGTAAGTACACGTAGCTGGGCTTTAAGTTTTGACTCAATTCAGCGTGTCGTGTTTGAATGATATATAAAGCAATGGAGGTGCTCGACATCTCAAGATGTTCTGCGAATGAACGGTATCCTTGATTGGGAGCATGGCTGCTCCCCATCACTATCCTTTCCGCCCAAAATAAGTATCCATGAAACTTTCATTAATCCATGTCGAGGTTAGAGATGTTCCTCTGAGCTTTGACCCCGTGCATGCGGAGTCTTAGCGACCCTCAATGTAAGAGCCCCCTTCAGGGAACCGCGCTCAACCCACTGCTTGCCTTGCATCTCACACTTGTGACCTTTTTGTTTCTGATCTGCGGGCTGTTTGGAAGCGCCCTCCTCTTTGCTCCGCATGTTCTGCTTGAGCCACCTGCTCCCTCTCTCCCATCGGAGTCTTTGTAACTTTCAGAGCCCAGTGCTGACTTTGCGTTGCATCCAGCGCCGGCCCTCAACAAGAATTGTTCGTGTACGCGAGTATCCGAAGGGCGGAGCATCCAGCAACACCGATCTGTTGATCCGATTCGCTTCCAACAGAGTTGGTTCCAGCACTTACCATGAATCCAGGGTTGGAATTCACTGCTCTTCCACTGGCAATGAAATACTTGGCAAAGTTGCCGCAGAGTAGTTGACCTCAACACCTTGTCTCCATACTCCCTGTGCTTTTCATTAATTTAAGATCACAGTTGTTCTGCTAACTGGCAACGAGCCTGAGCTGCATGCAGATCTTGCGTGCTTCTTTGGTGTATCCCAATCACCTGTTCTGCGGACCGCGCTTGAGAAGGGCATTTAAGCAGAAGCATGCGACGTCCCGCCAAAGACCACATTTGCTTTTGAATGGATTTGGTATCACGAGAGCTAGCTCAAGCTACGTAGCTGAAGTTTCTCCTTGCGTAGGCAAGGTAAGGGGCTGAAATACCGAACGATCAAGTTTATGAATTGCTTGGGCAGAAATATTGCGAGAATCAGTTATTTAGAACCCCCCCCTCTGGGGGCTCGAATCCCTCCGGCCAGTTGTTTCCACGCAGCAGCTGCTAGCTTTCGTTCACCACTCCTCAAATCAAGATATCTAGAACATGCACCAGTCCTCAACCTTGTTTGCACAGAACGTGTGCTGATGCTTTGAATGTGGCGCAAGACCAAGGCTCCAGCGTGTTTGATGACATCATTGTTCCGGAGGACGCGCTACAGGCCCGGCACACAGGAAGTCTGCTTTGGGCAAGGCCGGGGTTTGAGTTCAGGCATTTCACATGTTATTGTGTTGCTCAGATCGAACAAATAATCCGTTTCCCCGACATAGGGAGGTTGGATATGTGGACGGAGAGGTCGAAGCTTAGGCGTGTTTGCTCTTGGCGGATTCTTAGTTGCCGACGCAACCAGCTCATGAACCGATTATGCGAATCGAGCACGGCTTGCTGATTCGATTCCCTTTGCAGCGCGTGTCCTGAAGGCGCCCTTGGTGCTGACTGCCGAGCTGGAACGCACACTTGTGAAGCTTGTGTCAACGGGCCATCGACCTGCCGGGGAGGGTTTTTACGGACAGTTCTGGGTCAGAAGCCCGCATGGTTATTCAATTGCAAGGGGTTGAGCCGTGAAGCCTGGGCTGATACCTGGGTCTTCCATTTGGTCACTTTTTAGGTCTCTGGGCATGTTTTTTGCTCGTTTCAGATTTTGAGCGGAAAAACTCCAAATGAGCGGAAATCTTGATTTGGCACGATTTGGCAAGTTGTCTCCCGGAAAATGAGCGGAAATCGGCGGGAAATGAGCGGAAATCGGCGGGAAATGAGCGGACATGTGCGGACACGCACCAGAACCACTTTCCAATTGAGCGGTTTCTTTCCAATTGAGCGTTTTTGGATGAAATGGGCGTTATTTTTGCTCGAAACGGGAAAATCCAGAAAAAAGTGCCCACGGAAGACCCAGGTATGACTTGATGGGTCCATCCCAAGAACAGAATACACATTTTGAAGTTATCGTTCAGAAAGAAATATTTGAGCTGTGCTGCCGAATCGCAGTATAGGCAGAATCCGGTATCAAACCCAATGTGGCAGGATTCAAAGTATGCTTGCCATGTTCAATGTCCTGCAGCTGACAAATGACTTGTGTACTGGTGTTCATTGTAGATTGCCTTCTCCTGTCCAAAGGATCAACGATCCCTAGAACACAGGCTGACCGGAGAAGAGCTTCGCTTGGTTCCCGCCCTGTTTGGTTCCCTCTCGGATGCTTGCTTTGCGCTGGTTCCCTTCGTGTCTGTATCCTCAAAATGGTTGGGGAACCGAAATCGGTCTCGTTGGAGGCCGGGCCCCTGCCGGACGCCGAAGGGCCAGGCGCCCATGGGAGGGCCAACGTTCCCTGGATTGACTTTTTGGGTCCACGCTTGGCTTTCCGATTCACTGAAGTTCCAACAGGAAAATCGTAGTCCGAGGTCTGCGGGCCCCGCGAAGCGTCACGGCCGTTTGGGGTTCGCTTACAATGACGGGGTGCCACAGTTAAAGAACAACACAGCTGTTTCTGCCAAACAATTGGCGAGCTCACCTTGCTGGACAGCATGAGGTCGGGCTGCCTGATGAATGATCCTAAGGGAGAGGCGTTCTTTGGTTCCAATTATGATGGGCATACTCTGTCGCGCTTCAGGGCAATAGGTGAACAGACCACAGTTTTCTGTTTTGAATGCACATTGGCTGAAGTTGATTAACCCTTTTTTTGGGGAGGAATCCCCTACTAAAATAGACTACGGGAAAAAAAGGGTACCCTTGTTCTACTGGAGGACCTAGACTATATACACTTTGTGTCAGCATGCGTGAATATGCGGTGTCCGCAAGCTGGATGTCTGGTCACGCCCACTTTGCAGGATGCCGTGCATCATACGGCTGCTTACCTGTCAATTGGCTGGGCATAAGTTGAAGGCAAGACAGAGCCATTGGAAGATGTGCGAACAACGAGCAACACAAAGCACCCAACTCGATTTATCCTTGATGTTAGAGTTCCTGGCGCGGAGAAAGGCTGCCTCGAGCTGATTGCGTCCCCCGAACCAGTTGCCAGGCATAGCATGGAATTTGTGTGTTATTTATTTTCCAGCTTGTGACTTAAAATAAATTCACCGGTTTCTGAACAACACACACACACATACTGTCCAGACTTTGGCATCGTGGGGCACGTTATTGCCAGCACTATTAGGCTACAGCTTGCACTAGCCCCAGCGCACGGGCTGACAACGTGGTACGAGCTTTTGCCAGCAAAGAAGCCACGGTGGCATCAACACGCCAAATGCATGTTGGACATGCTCAAGATCCTGCAGGCTGATACTGTTTCCTTCCAGTTGTTCTGCGCACAAAAGGCAGCGCTAAAGAGGGTATGTCAACTGAACTCTATGAAGTACAAGGGGCCCTCAAGAACAAAAACGGCCCGGACCTGGACTGTCAAGAACCGCGTGGAACCTAAGATCTTGCCCTTTTTTGGGGCAGGAGCAGTTGGGTGTAGGGAGGGGCGAGTCCAGTTCTCAACTCGCTGAGGTTGCAGGTGGAGGGTGTCTTCGCCGACCTGACAGAGGGGGGTTGGGGCATGGGATACCTCGGCCCGGTCCTTGGGCCTTTGTGAAAGTCCCAAGCTTCTCTCAGACTGAGCCAACTTGGCGTGAGGGTGGATAGACTTTGACTGTTGAGACGCCGGTTTGGTTTGGATTGGAATCACGTAGCCTGGGAGATCATCTATCCGCAACTTCCGCAGATGCCAAACATGCTTTGCCTGCTTCAACAGGGATCCTTACATGAAAAACACCATTTACATTCCCTTGCAAATGGTGGCGTCCCTTTTCGGTGGAAAGAGCCACATGCTTCAAACGGTTGCTTCAATCCGCCGGGCCCCAGCGTGTGAAAATGGAAGTCACGGGGACCCAACCCTGGAATTCCCTGTGAAGCCCATCTAATGTTGGTAAGGCAGGATAGATGAAATTCAATCTCCCCTCTCCCTCGCAAAGGGAGATGGAGTGAACTGGCTTTCTTTGCAGAGAGACAGTCGTCTTCCAAGCTGGCCTTTTGTTGTAATTTCTTGTTTCAAGACATTCTCACATCGAATGCCCCCCTTCAGAGTACCTGGGTTTGTCTCCACATTTGCTAGCCCCCCAAGAATTGGTCTTGTTCTTTTGCATTTCCTTGCGCAGCCACCCCGAATACCGTGCGACAAAACGCAGGTCGCAAAAGCTGCACTGTTGAGTCGGATTCGATTGGCTTTGTATTGGCTCGTCTCGCTGCAAAACCAACAAGGGGTTCCCCGAAAGCTGAAACCGGGGGTGTCTTTTTGGGGAAATAAACTTACCTTTTGGTGGTTTGGATTGGTGGTTTGGAGGTCTTGCGGCTACAAGAAGCACGCCTTCAAATATCCCGAAACCGCCAATCCAAACCTCCAACTACAGGTTGCCTGATGCGCGGGCATATGTCATCACCACCCATGCAGTCCCGGATCCAGGTGAGGGCTCTGTGGGGCAGACTAAGACACTGGTGCTGCAGTTGCGTCCGGTGCCCGGCAGGTGGTGCATGTTTTGGTTGGGGGCTACCTTTTCAGACTGGCTTAAAGGGAAATACAGACCTCCACTTTAGGCTTTCCATTTTTTGAGTTGGCGAGACCATGGTTTCTCACCTTAGGCCTTTCCATTGTACTTGTCCAAACCTAAGACTGCGAATGTTCGATGTTGGACTTTTAAGGCTTGCGTTTGGACCGCAACATGTTTTGGAGCTAGGTGCAAGTGTAGCGCAGTCATGAACCATGTTTTCAAGGCAGACTACCTGATATTGGTGCATTGCTTGGTCAGCAGCCGGCCCCCAGCTTTGACCTTGAAGGTTATTGGCGATAGAATGACCTTGAATCGCCGGCACATGTGTGTCCAAACAAAAAGATGCATTGCAAGAAATATCCCTTACAAACTAAAGGAGTCTTGCATTGTTGCCAACACATATATGTAAAGCAACATATCACACATGTCCAGCATGTGTGCTTTCAAATGCGCAATTCAAGATTTGACGCTTCCTCTGAAATGATATTGCTGGATAAAGTCATTGCCAGTAGGGCACTGCCACTCAAATGACAGCATGCTCATGTGATCTGATGCGAGCAGTGATTTGACGCAAGGAGTATGACCTACCTATGTCCGAACTGCCATCCACTCGCGCTTGTCTACTGAATAAGACAATTAGACACCGCCTGCCCACTCGTGGCTCTACATTTGGTTCGTGTTCTCAGGTCTTTCTCAACCAGTACTGCTAGGCTGCAAGTGCTACGCCGGAGACACCGGAGCCCCTTTCAAATCACGGGGATCCTTTTGCTTTTGGCTTCCCTGTTAAACCGATCAAAAACTTGTACCCTCAAACACCAGCAAACAATCGCACCAATACACATAACGCAAATAGACAAACACACACACAGACACACACACACACACACACAGACACACAGACACACAGACACACAGACACACAGACACACAGACACACAGACACACAGACACACAGACACACAGACACACAGACACACACACACACACACACACACACACACACACACACACACACACACACACACACACACACACACACACACACACACACACACACACACACACACACACACACACACACACACACACACACACACACACACACACACACACACACACACGCACACACACACACACACACACGCACACACACACACACACACACACCTACACGCCCAAGCACATGCACAGGCGCACGCGCACGCACACGCACCCATGCGCCCACACGCCCATATGCGAACGCGGGCACGCGCGCGAGCGCACACTCACGCGCGCACACGCAAACGTGCACACACGCACACACACACACACACACACTTACACAGACACAGACGCACAAACGTAGACACTGAAACAGACGCGCCCCCACACGCCCACACGCGCGCACACACACAGGCGGGCACGCTCGCACGTTTACGCACTCTCACGCGCGCGCACACACGCGCACGCGCACGCGCACACGAGCGCCTACACGCGCGCGCGCGCGCGCACAGGCACACGCACAAGCGCACGCGCAGGGGCACGCGCGCGCAGGGGCCCACACCCTCGCACCAGCACGTGCATACGCGCGCGCGAAGGCGCACATTAATATCGAGGCACACGCACACGCACACGCGCACTCGCACGCGCACGCGCACGCGTCGTGCACGCACGCGCACGCGCACGCGCACGCGCACGCACCCGCACCCGCACCCGCACCGGCACCCGCACGCACGCACGCACGCACGCTCATGCACGCTCATGCACCCACGCACGCGCAACGCACGCGCAACGCACTGACACACTCGCACTGCAGCGCACACACACACGCCACACACACACGCCCACGCATGCACACGCACCCACAGACACGCACAGACAGGACATTTTCCTGAAGAATGTGTCTGCGCTTCGCAGCACGGCGCTTGCCTTGACCAAATGTTTGATTCTAGAAGGGAGCAACGGCTACCGCATCTTAGTAAGAATTGCCAAATCCTGATGAAGAACATGCTGCGCTTTGCGGCGCTTAGGACTTTTGCTTTGAGCAAACTAAGATGTTGTCCTGCGCGCTGCGCCTGGGGTTCAAGGTGGTGAACCTCATGGAGGCGCGTATAGGCTTGACAGGCATCAGCAAATCTTGAGTGGGCGCGCTTACCATTTTGCAGGCGTGTGTCGCGTGCTGAGCAAGCGTATAGAGCGGGTGCGTTTCCCGAATCTGGCAGGCGCACGGGCCTGAGCGAGCACGCTTACCACTTGGCAGGCATGTGTGCAGCGCTGAGGGGCGCCATTGAGCGGCCGCTCGGCGTTTGACAGGCATGTGAGTGTGCAGCGCTGAGCGGGAGCGCTTGAGCAGGTGCGCTTGGTGTGCTGAGCATGGGGCCGGCGTGCGCGCGACGCGTGTTGAGTGGCCTGTCAGGCGGAGGAGGATCGGAGGAGGAGGAGGAGGAGGGAGACGCGCAGACAGCCTCCGAGGTCGGGGGCCAGCCGCGCAACGGCCGCGTCCTTTGTTCGCGCTGAGGTGAGCGCAGCGGCGAGTGTGGATGAGGTCTGCGCGACTGACGACGCAGCGTCGGTCGCAGGGTCTGTGTCCTCGCTCCTAGCAGAAGTGGGCTGCCGCGGCCTCAGAAGCAGTTGGAGAGCGAGATGCGACTCAGCACCTTGTTCATCTCGGGCGTGCATAGAGGTGCCGGGGCAATGCCCCCGGCACGACAGGCCCTTCTGAAGGAAAAAATGCTTGGGCGCACTGTCACCACTCACACAGGCACGCGCACACCCGCATACACACACACACACTCTCATTCACAGTCACGCGCACGCAAGCACTTACACAGACACACAACCGCACCCACACACCCACACAGGCACACACACACAGACACACACACACACAGACACACAGACACACAGAGACACACGGAGACACACAGAGACACACAGAGACACACGCAGACACACACACACAGACACGCACAGACACACACACACACACAGACACACACAGAAACGTCTACCGCATCTTAGGAAGAATTACCAAATCCTGATGAAGAACGTGCTGCGCTTTGCGGCGCTTAGGACTTTTGCTTTGAGCAAAATAGGGTGTTTCAAAAGCGTGCGCCTTGGCGTAATAAGATATGACCCGAGTCCTATTTTGTTGGCTCAAGACTTGTCGAAGAATGGAGAAGGGATTCCATGCGAATATCTCAAACACTTGTTTGTTGCAGCGCGTCGGCCCAGATCAGACAGCAACAGCATCAGCAGCATCGGCAACCCCTCGGCTCGGCAACCCCTCGGCTCGGCAACCCCTCGGCTCGGCAACCCCTCGGCTCGGCAACCCCTCGGCTCGGCAACCCCTCGGCTCGGCAACCCCTCAGACAGCAGCAACAGCATCAGCAGCGTCGGCAACCCCTCGGCCCCTCGACCTCGGGAGCGCTCCGCGATGGGAGATCATGGTGCGGAGGCCTTCGCCTCTTTTTTTTTTAGGTATCTGCTTTCTTCCTCTTGCCCAGGACGAGACTTGGGGGGCATGGCGTCCTGACGTAGGGGGCGCAGGCACCGAGGACTTTTTTTTCGCCGTTCCGTCGTGTCCGAAAGTTGCTCGCTGCCAGGTTGGTTTGGTGAGGATTGGAGCGCAGGCACCGAGGACTTTCGCCGTTCCGTCGTGTCCGAAAGTTGCTCGTTGCCAGGTTGGTCTGGTGAGGATTGGGGCGCAGGCACCGAGGACTTTTTTTCGCCGTTCCGTCGTGTCGTGCTCGGCAGGTGGCGGAGGATCCTCCGGCTGGGAGGCGCGTCTTCCCTTTTTTCCTTTTTTTTCCTTTCCACGATGCCTCTGCCAGGAGGCGGCTTGGACGGCGACGCGGAAGCCGCCGTCCAAGCTCCGCAGGGAGAAGGCGTTCAACGACGAGAAGGCTCGTCGTATCGTGAGAGGGCTGTGGGCTATCCTTTTTTTGTCGACAGGACGCGATGCGCCGCGAGCTGGCGGTCAAGGCGGGTGCAGTTTCAACGGTAAACGGATGAATGGCGCTGTTGTGCACCTCGTGTACGGGGGCTGAGAAGTGCGCCGATCGTGCCATGAATTTGATGCAACTCGCCAGGCGTGCGGGACGTTGGGGTGGCGATGGGGGTGTTGCCCACATATGTCGGCGATGCAGGACCAGAACGCCAAGGTGCGAGAGCGAGAAAGAGAGAAAGAGAGCCACGCATAACAATTCTGATGTGAGTCCTGCGCGCTGCGCCTGGGGTTCAAGGTGGTGAACCTCATGGAGGCGCGTGTAGGCTTGACCGGCATGCGTTCAATGCTCAGCAAATCTTGAGTGGGCACGCTTACCATTTTGCAGGCGTGTGTCGCGTGCAAGCGTGCTGGAGCGGGCGCGCTTCCCGAATCTGGCAGGCGCACGCGCCTGAGCGAGCACGCTTATTTGGCAGGCATGTGCAGCGCTGAGGGGCGCCATTGAGCGGCCGCTCGGCGTTTGACAGGCATGTGTGCAGCGCTGAGCGGGAGCGCTTGAGCGGGTGCGCTTGGTGTGCTGAGCATGGGGCCGGCGTGCGCGCAACGCGTGTTGAGTGGCCTGTCAGGCGGAGGACGATCGGAGGAGGAGGACGAGGGAGACGCGCAGACAACCTCCGAGGTTGGGGGCCAGCCGCGCAACGGCCGCGTCCTTTGTTCGCGCTGGGTGAGCGCATCGGCGAGTGTGGATGAGGTCTGTGCGACTGACGACGCAGCGTCGGTCGCAGGTGTGTCTCCTCGCTCCTAGCAGAAGTGGGCTGCCGCGGCCTCAGAAGCAGTTGGAGAGCGAGATGCGACTCAGCACCTTGTTCATGTCGGGCGTGCATAGAGGTGCCGGGGCAATGCCCCCGGCACGACAGGCCCTTCTGAAGGAAAAAATGCTTGGGCGCACTGCCACCACTCACACAGGCACGCGCACACCCGCATACACACACTCTCTCACTCACAGTCACGCACACGCAAGCACTTACGCAGATACATATTGAGAACCGCACCCAGACACCCACGCAGACACACACGCACACGGACACACACACACAGACACGCAGACACACAGACACACAGACACACAGAGACACACAGAGACCACAGACACGCACAGACACACACACACACAGACACACACAGACACACAGACAACAGACACACACAGACACACAGAGACACACAGAGACACCCACACACACAGACACACACAGACACACAGAGACACACACAGACACACACAGACACACACAGACACACACAGACACACAGACACACACAGACGCACACAGACGCACACACAGACACACACACACACACACCCACCCACCCACCCACCCACCCACCCACCCGCCCGCCCGCCCGCCCGCCCGCCCGCCCGCCCGCCCGCCCGCCCGCCCACCCGCCCGCCCACCCACCCACCCACCCACCCACCCACCCACCCCCACACCCACACCCACACCCACACGCACCCGCACCCGCACCCACACCCGCACCCACACCCACCCGCACCCGCACCCGCGCCCGCGCCCGCACCCGCGTCCGTGCGCGCGCGCACACACACACACACAGGTACCGCCCGCCCGCCCGCCCGCCCGCCCGCCCGCCCGCCCGCCCGCCCGCCCACCCGCCCGCCCACCCACCCACCCACCCACCCACCCACCCACCCCCACACCCACACCCACACCCACACGCACCCGCACCCGCACCCACACCCGCACCCACACCCACCCGCACCCGCACCCGCGCCCGCGCCCGCACCCGCGTCCGTGCGCGCGCGCACACACACACACACAGGTACCCACATACACACACACACACACACCACGCCGCGCCACGACGCACCACACACGAATTTTTCTGGGAGTGACAAATTCAACCCATAAATAGCCCAGAATGCTCTCGTCGTTGAATTTACCCATTTAGAGGCCCACCAATGCCCACCATTTTGTTCCACGAGGCTTGCAAACGCCGCTGAGCGCTGGGCAGCTACGTCGACTAGGCCGCGCTTGGCCGCGCAACTTGCGAGCAGAATTTCTGAGGGTCGGAAATTGAGGTTGCCTCAGCCTACCATTGGGGAGTGACTTTGATGATCAAACAACGTGGCCAGCACAGGGGTCGTCAACAATATGCTCAGCAGGGAATGTGGCAATGACTCATGACTCTATAAACCGTCCCTTGCGGTTTGCTTTAAGAGGATGTTTGGGTTCATTCCCACATTCCCTACTGAGCTCGAGCAAGTAAGTCAATACACCGTCCGCAAGATGCTGAGATAGACTAAACAGTTTGCCTTGCAGTGGTGTCCCAGATTACGGGATGCGCGAATGCGGAAACGCGCAGAGAAGACTGTTGTGCGGGAGATGCGACAGACCGGACACATGAAATGCGTTTCGTTTGGAAGCTCTTCGTATTTGGTATCTTCTCCAGTGAAATGCAATGCATCCGCTTTGTTGCGGTTGTTTGTGGCCAGCATATGCTGATACTGCTATAAATCTCCAGCAGCAGCTTTGGTGTGGACTGGCGTTCAATGTTGGCTTTGAAAAGTCTCCATGATTTTGGCGAACCCAAATGGGTCTAAGAACAATGTCGCACAATCGGATTACTATTTCTGGTTTAGAGCGTATGCTCCTGTCATTGGTTTCCACGTCCAAGTGATCGCTTGTTTGTCAGCCAGTTTTGATGGTCATGGTTTGAGCCCATACTTCTACTTTGTTTTATATAGACCTCCATCTAGTGCGCTGAGGAACACGCGCAAATGCGCGTGCTTGTTTGGATCTTTGGGGCATTAGATGGATTCGTTGGCGTCAGTTTGCTTGTAACCATTTGCCCTCCACCAGAATCTCAGAAAGTCCCTTCGAGAAGGAAACGGTGATCCCAAGCTACCTGGGAGGACATGAGTGCCATTTGGGTAGTTTGTGCTGAGGGCGCCCTTTTTCCAAGGCTTGTGTGAGCCAAGCAAAAGCTCAATTCGAGCGTGCCCATATTTTGAGACACAACCAGATTTGCAGTGTTCGTGTTACTCCGCTTGACTTGGCAGGGATGGTGATCAACCTCTCAATGCGGATTGTGAACCCAACGATTTATATAATTAGAGCCATTGTGTTTCAGTGCCTGATTGAGAACCCATGTGCGCTCTCAATGGGAATCCCGTTGTTTCCCAAGCTCTCAATAGTAATCAACCTCTCGGTGCGAGGGAGAAGTCACTTTCCCAGTTTATCTTTTCATTCTTTGCACAGATTGATCATATTAAGTGGTACACCCCCTCAGACTAACCTGGAAGCTCCCCGAATCCTCCGCGAGCCATGAGAGGCGCTGCCCTGCGGCGGGACGGCGCGCAGCCGCCCCGCAGCGTGACTTGACCAGAAAAGGAGAAGCCACTCCCTTGTGTTTACACCGTCCTCCCTGTGAAGGTGTGAATGCTGATAGATCCTCTGGTAGGCTTTTGGGGGTTGGGGTCCCCTATTAAAATTCAGACGCTTTTGGGTAGTTCTTGGGCCAATTCTAATTGAACATTGCCCGAAGACAACATGGGCAGACTCGGTTGAGGTTGTGTAGCGTCTCACATTGACGTGAATTGATTCGAACATAAAACTCTGAAAGCTGGTTTTGGGTTGCACATGGAACCAGGAGTCCTTTTGTCATGTCGCCTTTGGGCCAGGAGCTTCTTGTGTGCAGGGCTTATGCGGACAGATGCTGAGCCCAGCTCAGCCAAACCTGCTTACACGGCACGGGCGGGAAGCCCTGAATCATCCATTGTTATTGTACCTACCTACAGTGTGGTAAATGGAGTCACCCATGAAGCACAAGCAACTTCGAGAGTGAGGCCTTGCCTACAAGCTCCCTTTGCATCATTGAAGGTGTGATTTCAGAGGGGAGCAAGCGGAAGCCTGTCCTCAAATGGTCGGTTTTTGTTGGATGTCCTTTTGGTTTCCTTCAACGCCACCCTGAAACAGGCCCTCTTAACTATTTAGAATGGGGTAGCAGGGGATTACAAAACAGATGAATTCAGAATCATGAGACCATTCTCATGATTCTGCCTTTTTTATTTTTAATTGCAAGCTTTGGGGTTTCTGCCCAGAGGGTTCGGAGCAGCTGTGAGGGAAGTTTCCGGAAGGTTCCGGGATGTTCCTTTCTGCTGGTTCCGGAAGCATGTTGTGTAGGGTTGAGGGGTTCAAGGTCGCATGGACCCGCTCGACGGTAGGGTTTTGGAAGGATTCTGGTTGTTCTTGGGGGGGCACCTGAGCTCGTGTTTTGATTGCTCCTTTTGTTTGGAGAGTTTCCCACTAAACAAGGTAAACCCTCTAGTTACCAGGGTCACTGGGCAACTGGACCTGTGTTTGCCACGTTTGCGAAGTTCGTGCTATGTTCTCCCAGTTTGCACTATAGTAGGCAAGCCATGTTCCGTCTGATGTTCCTTATTTGTTTAAGGGTGGTTCCCTTGGTTAATTACCTAGGGTGGTTGCCTTGGTTCTGTTGTTTCCTGGTCAGCTACTGCACAGGTCAAAGGATTTTTTTCAGAGCATCGTCGCCTTCTCCCCAGACCTGACTCCGTGGATTGCTTTCTTCGGAGTGGTTCCCTGACCTCCCGCCGTAAATGTTTAATAGAAAAAAGGCACCACATTTTTTTCCACGGCCACCAACAGTCTGGACCTTTGTAGTCCGGCACGACTTTTACGCAACATGTTCTCCCCTGGATGGACAATCACCAGTATTCATAGGGCTTCACCTATCCCAGCTCAGCTCAGGATTTTGTCCTTCCACAGTATGAAATCTAAAATGGCTTGACAGAGACCTGGCAAGTCGGATTTCACACCACGACACTATGATGTCAGCTGTCAATGCCAAGCACAGATCTGTATGGACTCCCTTGAAGATAGGCCCATATCCATTGGAAACGAGCCCCGAAGAACGCTTTTGTGTTTGACAGGAGTTGCCTTTTGCAGCGTTTTTGTTTTCCCATGTTTGGAATATGTGTGGCCTGGTACCAAAAGGTTAGCTTGAGGTGGTTTGGGCAAGCGAGTTGTTTTTGAGTGTACCCATTGGACACCAAAGAGCAAGCACAGCTCTGAGTTACATGTCATGTCAGTGTTGTTTGCACGCGCCTGAACCCGCAAAATGCATGCTGTATCTTTTCGTGTCCCTGTAAAAGTCACCCCAACCCCAAAAACGGCAAGGGGCACCCCCAACAAAAACATCGAGCAACCGACAGCTGCACTTTGCATTTGTCACTCAGGACCTTGCGCGCGCCTTAGGTGCTGTTGCGCCAGGAGGGCGACGTCACTTGCTGGTGCGATAGGGAATGAATTGCCAAGTAGGGGTGTTGGGAATGAAGCGTTTTTGGATTCCCAGAAGGGAAACCACCAGTTGGATGGTTTACAGGGGTCATTGTATTTCTCATTCCCTGCTGAGAACCAGCAAGGAAAGAGAATGAAATTGGATACACACGCGTACAGTGTGAATAGGAAATGGATGTTACTCGAATATATGGCTATTGGGCGAACGCTTTCAAGTGTTACCGTACTGGAATGGTACTCCTTCCAAGCAGTTGGCTTCCTCTTGCTTGCCGTTTCGACAGCAGCAATATGTCGTTGACAGAGAGATACCATGAGCTGCTCGTGGGCAACCAAGGGAACCATCCCTAGGTCCCCCAGTAGTGCCCTTTTAGCCTTTTGTTGGGGAGGGTTCCCCTACCCAAATAAACTACAGAAAAAAGGGTACCCTTATTCTAACCTCTACTGGAGCCTAGATCCAAGTAAAATCGCAGAGGAGAGACAACTGGCTGCCTGCTAGTTGCAGCGTGACATTGTCGAATTGGTCTCCAGCAGATGGCCATCATGTCGGCCACCCTTGCCCATACCACAGGCGGTACCACAGGCGGACTTTCAACCTATAGCCTTGATTGCCAATGGATTGGATCTTTAGACTTTAACTGAGTGGAAACTCATTTTTTGTGAGCCCACAAACATAGACGTTTGTTTTTTTCTTGCAGAGGGGTCAACAGGAACCAAGTAGTATATATTCATTCATATGATATGGAACAGATTGGCAGATGTTGTTTGTTCGGTTGCTATCGCATGAAGGGCTTGCATAGAATGTATTTCATCTCAGCGCCGAGAAATGCTAACGGAAACTCGACAATCCGACGAGCAGACTGGCTCTCACGTCAACATCAGATCTTCAACAGGAGCTAAGGAATAGGCACAGCATGACACTCAGTCTGCTGTTGTTTTTGAAAGTTGCTGTTTTGGTTGGTCGGGGACAAGGCCGCTCCCCACGAAGACTAGGGCGGTCGTCAACAAACAAAAAGGCTGGTTCAGGGGCCCACAAATCCAAATTGAGTCAAACACAGAATTAGGGGCAAAGCAAACAGCTGCAAGTCTCCCCATTTCTAGGGCAAGCTGGATTGAGGGAACATGTGTGCTTGATGGGGCCTGAAAGTCGCGGGGACACTTGCGCGAAGAGCCGACGGCATGCTGAGACACGGCTCTTATGTCAAAACGAGTCGGATGCTTTCTGGATCTCAAAGACCAACACGAAACATTGCTCTCGAATGAAACTTGCTTCACATGATGGTTACAACTGCCTAAAATGGCATTACCGGAGGACGGCTTGTGGCTGCAATGGGCTTTCAGAGATCAGCTCTTGCGAATTCTGCGACAAGCTTTGCTTGCCCCGAACGGGAACAGGGGAAGGGAACCATCTTGTTCCAGATGTCCAAATGACTTTTAACATCTTTTAACCATCCAGTTGTACTTCACCTAGGAGTTTGCCTCTGAATGCTTCCCTTCTGCCGCTACCGTTGCAGCTGTTCGTTTCCCTTTCCTCCCTCCTGTTTTGTTCTTCCCCTCGCTTCGGGAAACCCGCGGCATTTTTCCAGGAGACGGGAGCTCTGGAGTTGGCCGCTCAGGGGTCGGAGTCAGTGACCAGATTTATGCCGAGCTCGTCTTGGGAATAGCTGAAAGTCACAAAGGGCCTATATGACTCTAATGGTTCTAACGGAGTTGTGTGTGTGTTTACTATATTAAGTCATGTTTGTGGAGTAAACCGTCAGTAGTTGCGTGGCACTCCCAATAACCTTCTTCAGTGCTTATCCTTCTTGCTTTCAGTTCGGTCGGTTACCCTTCAAAGCCAGCAGCCACGGACAAGAAGCCCTACCATTTGAGCATGCTGCGCGAATTCCGAATTCCGGACTCCTGACGCGAGTCCGTTTCCTTCGTTCGACTTCTCACCACAACCTTGGAGTGGCCTGGGGTATTGAACAAGCATGGCTATGAGCTGTCAGGGAAGTATCAAAGCCACACCAGTCGGCATCCCCACACAATCCATGTATATGGCTAATAGATACCAAGGTTTGACCCGTTTGGAGGGCAAACGTGGGTAGTCTTGCATGCATGGCGTTGGACCAGCCAGCGGCACTCGCCTTCTCCATTTTGCGGAGCATTGCACTCCGGAACGCAAACTTCGAGCCCCGTTGTTCAGCACCCCTTGTCCCTTTTTTGGTGGTTGCTTTTTTGAGTCAAGATAGTCAACCCAAGTAGATACGGTTTCCAACTTTCTCTCGAGGCCGGTTTGTTTTGCAGCCTCGGGTGCTTCTAGAAATAGACAGGACAAGCTTCTCTTGCTTCTTTTCGGCTTTCCTTGGAAAACGCAATGAACCGGAGGTGCACCATTCTGCAGGTTAGGATTGTCCTGAAGCAGCTTGTCACCCAACTGACCGAAGGGAAGGCACTTTCCTTTCAATGCCCCAAAACAGTTGGCTTCCTGTTGGCTTCGTTAACCAAAGGGGTAAGCACATTTCAAGAGTCAAAGGTCACAGCCTGCCATGGGACACCTTTCGCCATGGGAATCCCCGTAGTGAGGGGTCTCGTTGAACCACTTTTGCATAAACAGAAGGGTTGATCTGCCGCGACCATGTTTCAGGCAAGCCTGAATTGGTTTGGATTGGGTGGGGATTTGAAGCCCTGGTTCTTGTAGGTGGCAAATGGACCTCCCTCGAACCATCAAACCACCAATCAACACCACCAAGTGGGAAGCTGAATCCTTGAGGTGTGGGTTGCCTCGGAGCAGCCCTTCGGACCGGGCCTCAGATCTTTTCGGCCGCGGGGAACGCTATTCGCAAAGCAACGTCAACTCTTGGCGCGGCTCGCAAAGTGGAAGACCCGAAATTAGTCTTTGATCCAATTCTTCATCCGAAATTAGTTCAACTTCGAGCGGGGTTTTGGCATGTTTTGGCCCAACAGTGTTGACGCTTCATAGGGAAACCTCGTTGAGCAGTCTTCCGTGCTTTTCAAGCTGCAAGTGACATGGGCTGCATTCAATCGTGGAGCACGTAAAGCCTCATATGCTGATCTGAAGATGGCCATTCGAGATTGCGACTGGTGTCCAAGAAACGCATCTCCGTCGTCCAATCCTAGTTTTTTGCTTGCCTGGTTTGACTTTTGATATTGACGCTGGTCCTTTGAACAGGGTGAGGTCATGTCTCTAGCATGCCCGGTGCTCGTGTTGCAAGGGTTGTCCATCATGTTACCAAGGCGAAAACCTTTGCAAAGGGCACCCTTGCTACGTACTCTTCGAAACCCAACCTTTTGGGTTCCACGAAAATCGTGTGTTTGCCCCGCAGAGACTCGATTTTCCTCAGATCCTGTAGCCCATGCCTGTTTGGGATCTTGTGAAACGGTTCTCCATTTTCAGGTTCGCGACATCACAGTTTTGGTCCGGTGCGACAGCTGTCGATGAGCCCAATCATCTCGCTGGATCCCTTCGTTTCAGCCTGCCTTTGTGGCCGGCAGACATGTGGCCTGGTAGTTTTGAACATCCCCGTTTGGACCCATACTTTGGCAAATCTTGCTGAAGTTCCGCGACCTGAACTAAGAGCTCCTCAAGGGCCAGCATCTCTCGCAGGCGGACAAGTCGATCAGATCCGTCCTAAGATGCACAGGGGGGCAGCCCAAACATGGCAAGCATACAGGTCCACTGCAAGGCAGGTGCTCCCTACGTGCGGGTTTCAGGAACCCCTACTTTGCATACACAATCATTTATCATTGCTATGTCCCAGACGCAACGCGCCCCTGACCATGCAGCGAAGACGGCCGCATCCCGTACCCGCATCCCGTACCAAATCCAGGGCATCCCAGCAAGCCATTCGTCAAGCACGTGGAGAACACACGAATAACATCTATGTCAGGTGGTCCGCCAACCACCAAGGCACGGCCAGGGAAAAGCTGGGACCCTTCAGCTCACCTGGCAGGGCGAGGTCCATCAGCCATCGCATCTCAAAACCGGAGCCAACTCACGCACCTTTTAGAGGCAGTCGGGTCCGCGTCAAAGGAGAACTCTGAAGCTGCGACCGTCCTCCAGCACCCACCAAAGGGAGAGCTCGAGCTCGAACAACACGGGGGCCCAGTTTCCCCGCTTTGGCCCAGGACAGCCAAGAACCATGGGTGTCTTGTTTTTTTTTGTTAAGGCTACTCTTTTCTGGTTGCTTTTAAAAAGAAGGCCAAAGGGACACCAACCAGTTGGTTCCATCTTGGTCCATTTTGGGGGCTCCCCCTTTGGGAGAAACCCACAGGTGGCCGAGATCTGCAGCCGCTGCCTGCAGAGCTGCAGCGGGAGCCAACCAGAGGCCCCCCCGGCCCGGCCATTGGACTGCCCGTTGGCGAAATAGGGACCCCCACCCTCCCAAAAGCAAAAAAGAGCGCGGTTTCCCCGGTGGTTTCTCCTGAACCCGGAAAGGGTACCCTCAATCAAACACGCATACATTCACACACATTCAAAGGGGCCTGTGTCCCAATGGTGGAACACCTTGTTTGATGGTTTTGAAGGGGAACGAAGAGAAAACCACCTGGAGGGGGTCCTTTATCTTGAGAAACAATGAATACAGGGTTATGTTAGTTGAATCCTTATTCTCCACAGCCATGACACACCCTTCTTTGGAAACGAATAACCCGCCTAAACTTGAGTTACCGCTTTTAGGGGCACCATGTTATGCCTGTCTTGTTTTGTCGAAACTGGGTCAAGCGTGGGACTGTCAAATCCAATGCATACTTAGTATGACCGATGGTTAGTCAGGCAGACCAGGAGAAGTAAGTTCTAGAGCTAGCATAATTTCCTGGTTATGCAGCAGGGAGAAGTCAGAAGGGTTGGCCAGAACATACGTGACCATCTCTGCCTTACTTTATTATTATTATTATTATTATTATTATTATTATTATTATTATTTGCTGCAGCGGCACCGACAAATCCTTTGAACATCCTAGCGCAAAGGACGGAGAACTTTCAGTGGCACATTGCCAGTGGAAACGTCCTGACAATTCAGACATTTCTCCGGAGAATTCTCCGAATGGGGCATTATTTGCTCTGCTGCTATTGGGTTGGATCTTTAGACTTGAACTTTTGGGATTCCCTTCATATTTCATTTTAACCAGCAAAAAGTTAAACTTTTTGCTGGGGGATCTACAGCACCCAAGTTTCTTATGGTCGCTCACGGCAAACCCTGTTGCGCTCCGCAGCAGGTCCTTCGGGAAATTTCAATCCTGTGGAGCAGTTCCCTTTGGGAGGATCACACATTGCATGTTGATGGCCAGTTGATCAGAAGAAGGCTTCCCCTTAAATGGTCCTGGGTGTAATTAATGTTTGGGTATCAACCATACAGCCTCCAAGTCCCGTTGGCTGCTGATTTCAGACTGGCTTCCTCACGGCAGCTGCCGAAGCAAGGGCTGCTCCATTCGGAAACCCGCTTCGAGCGGGTGTCCTTTTTGTGGGGTTTGATTGCCCAAGCAAATTCGCAAGTAGACAAACCAGAATCTATGTCAATGAGTTCCCGTTGCTCAAGCATACATCCCTGGTCAAACAGGACTACTTGGTGTTGCTTGCTGTCTTAACATCGGGGAGGCTACCAAAGAATTGACAGCTATCAAGGCTGTTTAATCACCTACCAGACAAGCACGAACTCCAGAGGAAGCCCATTGAAAGCACAGAATCTCATAGCAAGCAATGAGAGGCTTACCAGTCAGCCCCGCACTTTACAAATGCTGTATTTGCTTGCTGCCTTTATTCACGGGGTAGCCTGGGCTGTGCCAACGCACTGCACTCGGTTCACCCCAGCAGGCGAAGATTGACTACTCACAACATTGTATTTGCAGCCCTGTGCGAGAGAATCGAGAACCATTTGCGATGTGTCAAGCATTTTCGACCAGGGACATGACATTGATTCGCTTATGATCATAATGTGGCTGTGGGTCAAATAGGTACCCAAAATGGAACCTTGGCAAATGGAAACATGGACTAAAATCTGCGGTCCCCTGGTGGTTTAATTTTGACCCATACCCATGACCCATGTCACAAAGTTTCAGCACAAGAGACAAGCCGAAGGAGCATCGCAGCAGCCAGCGTCAAGATTCCTTGCCCTGGAACCGCCCAATCCCAAACCCAGGCTCCCCGTCGCTGTCTCTTTTTTTTTGGGGGGGGGGAATATAACCTACAAAGAATCAAACACAAAACAACTCGTCAAGGACAGCGAAGGAGCATAGATTCTGAAGGAGCGATATCTTGGCTTTGTGAAGCCCAACAAGCTGCAGATTATGACATTAAGTGCTGCCCCACCAAAAACAGGGCGGTTCCAATTCGTTTTTTCTGCCGCGGAGCAGCGCTGAACCCCCCAAAACCAACGTTTCTTTGTGAGGCCTGGCCTGGCGCCTCGCGGTGGCGCGCCAGCTGTGCCTGGCGGTGGATGCCTTGCACAGGCGAAAGGGTGGTTTGCTGTGCTCTTTCCTCCCCTTTTGGGCGAGTTGGTTGGTAAGTTGTGTTGGTTGGTAGTTGGTGGGAGAGTCAGGTGCTGCCTCAGCCCCCAGGTTGCCTTATCCCATCCTCTTTTTTTTCCCCTTGGAAAAAGACCTGTCAACAGATCTGAAAAGCAGCATGCAGACCCGCTTGCAGCAATATTCAACACACACCACTGTGGCGCGCTCGCGCTCAACGCAGGTCTGGGCGAAGCCACGGCAGCCTTGCCCCGCGCAACGTGCTGGCCGGGTCCCCGCCCGATCGGCCTTTCGGACGACTCGACTCCGCTTCCGTGTTTTGACGTTTGACAGTTGGCCTTCTTTGGGGAGGGCCCAACATTTGGAGTCAGTTCTATATCTGCTGTTCGGGTCACCGGTTGCATTTGTTGCATTTGGGCCCTAGGCTCCCAATGCGGTGCCAGGTTGCAGATGGGGACATTTGCCTCATGGAAGCTGGGCTCACAGGCGCGCTGCTGGAGGCGGGCAAATCTTTCTCCCGATTTGTCGGTCCCAGAGTCACTCAATGAAACTATAAAGGACTGCCCGAGCAAGAAACAGCTTCCGACTTTTGCTCTTGTTGCCCAGTGACCCGATGGTTTTTAGGCGGTTGTTCATGGGAAGTTGTAAATGCCCCTGGCTTTCGGGAAGTTGGACAACTTGTGGACACAGATAGCTTGTGCTTCCTGTTTGAAAATATGTCAGCAATCCCTCCATGTTTTTTCATGTCCCTCCCAAGTTTGATCTGGACCTGCTGGATATTTGGCCGCCTTACCATAGTCCTTATCAAACTCTGCAAAAGTTGCCAATGGGGGTTGTGGGCGCCCAAATGAGTCACCCAGCCACCAGGGACATCAGCTGAAAAACTGGCAGCTGAACCTTGGGGCACAGGTTAGCCTGGCTGCTGCCTTCACTCACATCATAAACTGATGCGCAAGTTCCCTTTTTGCCCTGTGATGCTTTCCAGAAAACCAGCAACCAGGGCAGATTGGGCGTTTTTGAAACGATACATGAATCATCAGGCATCATGCAGCCAACCACGCAATTTTTAGGCTTCCCTACTGCGGACTGCGGATGGACAAAATCCTGCACCACCTACCCTGGAAGGATGATTCAACTGATACCAACCAACAATGGCTTCAACCATTTCCAAAAGTGGTGCGAAATGGCTGCCAGGTCCGCCAGTCTTGAGACGAAGCCTACCTCAAAACGCTACAGGTGGGTGCCCTTCGGGAGCACGAGCTCCTGGGCGCCCTGGGCCTCGGCTTCGCGCGGTATTTGGCCCCAGAGGCCGGGCCCAGGGTTTGGGTGGGCGGTTGGAGGGGAAGCCAAGAGGACTCCCGGTCCCGGGTGGGAGCACTTGGGGGTAAATCCAGGCACTTCTGTGATACAAGGGAATCTCTCCCCCTTTATATGGAGGGTTACGTGCTTCCTGAGACTTTATAGTTTTTGGGACCATGTTGGTGGCAATGGGGAAGTTTGAGTTGGGCCATCCGCTCGAGAAGTGAGACCAAGAGGACCACTTGGGCTGCCCAGCTCAAAAGCAGGGTTGGTGGCGGAACAATTGCGCTGTCCGGAGTCAATCTGCAAAGTCTTTGGGCCAAATGCCGCGGGTTTCCCTTGTCATAGTGATGTCCCACTGTGTGTCACGGGCTAGGGTCAGGGATCCCCGCATCGATGAAAGCCCAGAAGGGTGGCTCATTCCCCGCGCTTTTGGACAACTGTTGGGAAGCCCAATTGGGTGGCAGACAACAAGTTCAGACTCGATCGGGCCAATCCACTCAAGGATTGCGCTAAAGTGCAGTGTTGGAGGCTCAGGAACAACACATAACAACTACGTAGAAGATGTTCCAAGAATGAACACAAAAAAACACTGAGTGAGTGTTTACCACTTGCGTTCGCCTCTCGTGAATGCCGTGTACACCTGTTGGGCAGACAAAGAGACCCACCTGTGGCGGCGATTGTTTGTCAAAATTGCTGCCGAAGGCTTGGAAAGCCTTTGGCAGCAGGGCTTGCAGGAGCCTTGCTAGGGGCTACCGGCCACGCCTTCTTCATGTGTTTTGATCTGCGTTGTTAAGCTTTGATTCGCTGAACGCAGGGCCTATAGATACTCTATCATACTTGACTGCTATGCAAGAAATCACTGTGCGCAAAGGTATTTCATGAGAATGGCCCGGCATTTGTTCATTTGCTGCATGTGTTCACTGCTGCCCAGTGGTTAAACTCCTGCTCGGGGAGTCGTAGACCAGTGTGAAGACAATATTCCAAATGCCTCACATGCCTTTGCCATTCTGCTCGTTTCCCACACACGTAGAGGTATTTTGTTCGGATGTTTCTTCTCTAGGTTTGGGCACAAATGGTTCAAACAACCAGGCACCGACTCTTTTGCGGGGAAGTTAGGAGGAGGGCCCCCGTTTCAGACCGCCCCTGTTCCTTGAGCAGTCAGTTCCCGTCCTCTCCCGGCTTCAGGGCTGGCACGCGCGCCCTCCGCGGGGCGCCAAAGCGGATATCTTCAGCTTGGGCTTGATCCTGATGGAGGCAGAGCGGCGCATGGAGCAGCCAGCGGGTTGGCCCCAAACAAAGCTGGGTGTGGCCCAAGAAAGGATGACCAATTTTTGAAGAGGGGTCCTTGTGAAACTCCCAAGTTAGCGGACGAAAAGGAGTTGGTCCAAACTCCACGATCATGCAAGGGGCGAACTGATTACTTCTATAATCAAGGCCTGACCTTTCATGTTTGCTGTTGTCTTATGATGGCTGAGAGTAAAACTGTGATTTGTTCATGTCGGGGCCTGACACTTCTCCTCGGCATAAATAAGAATGGGCATCTTGTTATTTGCGCGTGGATTGCCTTCTGGGGCATCCTTTGGGCAAAAAGACAATTGTCACCTTTCAAGAGTCCTGTCAGAAAGCTCGGTTATGGTCAGACAAACAGCATTTTTGACACACAAAGCAGCAAAAACAGGCAAGCTGAAATGGGCCCATACACAGGAAATGGTAGTACTGGTGAGCCGGTGAGCCGCTAACAGGCAGTGTGTTGAAAGGAAAGTATTACTCCAAGAAGGCAGATTCATGCGGGGGGTTGATTGAGTAGGTGTGCGCGTGTGGTGATATAGCCGTACGAAAAAGGGAAGAAGCAGGGCTCCCCTTGAATCTAAATTATGGTAGGTGTTCGTAGATGTTCTTTTGGGGTACCCCTGAAACCCAGCACCTTTGAGTCCTTCCCAAGCTGCTTTGAGCGCCAGCTGGTGGCCGAAGATGTTGCACTCCTTTTGGCTAGTTCTAGGGGTAGCTTCCCCATTCTTTCCAGACCACCAAAAACGGCCAGTTGCGATCAACTTGTGGTGGACCATGGTTCTCTTCACGAACCGGCCATGCCCCCTAAGTTTGCGGTGGCTTTCTCGAACGAAGGATCCTTGGAAGAATGGGACGGCGCAGGTTCTGGCCAATCTGACACGGCGCAGGTTTTGGCTGGCTCCAGGCCCAACCCAGAGTGCAAGAGCCTGCAGCAGCTGTCGGCCACTGGGCTCGGATTGAGATCTCAAAACGACTGGGGTCTCCTCCGAAAATATGGTGCACTTGAAGGTTTAAACATGAAGCAGAATCTGAACATATTTTGTGTGCCTTGGGGTTGGGACTGGGTTGGAGAAACCCGCTAGAGACCCCTTGAACGAGCGGACGCAGCGACGCAACGTGCTCCGCGACCTCCTCTGCTACGGGTCTGACCGGTCTGACCTGCAACCGGAGAAAGAAAAGCCCGGCCTCCTCTTGCCCCTGCGCCTCGACAGCAGCAACGCCTGGCCACCCGGCGACATTTAGCTGCCTTTCTTGTCTGGCTCGTCTTGACCTGGCCGTCACGGCCACTCAGCGCGGCCAGCCATACTGCCCCAAAACGCCGCCTCGGCACGGCCGCTTGCGCCCAAGGTGTCCAGTTCCTTTCCTTCGAGGGTACTCCCCGGGAGCCGTGTGTCCCATGCGGTTGCCGTCCGCTCCGATGAGCCCAGCCTGCACTTTGAGCTGCAGGAGCTCTGTGCGTTGGGCGCGCAGCGCCGCCTTTCGGCGCCGAACCGAAGCCTGGGCGCAGTATACAGACTGCCGCTTCCCCGATATGTCTGCCTCCGTGCGGCTTGCGGTGACATGGTTTTCCAGCCTCGGGGTTTTTAGTCTCCTTAGGCGCTATCACTAGACTTAAGTCAGCTGATTGGCTGTTCTGCCCTTTTCGGCTTTTGTCATTTTCCCTTCCCGGCGAAGAGTTTGTTGTTTGATACAGGGGCAGGTGCTGCTCTTCAATGGCAATGGGTTCCTTCTGGGTCTGGCAAGTGACCAGATCCCAGTGGGAAGATTTTTCACCAGGTGGCAACTAACCACATTTGGACCACTTGGAGCCGAGGTCCCCGGACCCCCGCCCTTAGGTCGTTTCAGCTTCACCCCTGGTTTTTGCCGGTGGTTTGGAGCTTAGCTATGTCGCAACAAATCCAGTGTGAAACTTCGTATGGCATACTGCCTCCAAAAGCGTCCAATTCAAACTACCAATCTCAAATCCCAAATGAATGTGAGATGGACGCCATTAGGCCCCATACCTCGAAGAACACCCCCCCCTTTTCCAAGTCCAAGGAGCTTCCACGCTATCCCGACAAAACAAGGGCAAGTGGAATACTAGGCTCGGTACCTTGGATGCATAGACTTAGACTGGGTCAACAGAGCATGTTGAGTCGGTGGTTTCCCTGCACGCCCTAGGTGTTGCATGTTCTAGGTGGGGTAAACCACAGAGCAGATTAAGATGTCTTACTTTACTGGACCCCTCTGGGTATCCTCTTCCGCCCAAGGCCAAGCTCCTTCCCAAGCGCGGGTGCTGGCAGCCGCAAGCCTTGGCCTCGTTCCGTGGACCTTTGGTTGGGTATTTGTGGGGTTCCCCATCTACCCTCTACAAGAACCAGGAGTTCAAATCTAAAAAAAAAGCAATCCAAACCACCAATCAAGCGAGCTTCCTCGAAGGCAGGGTGCAGGGGGGTTTGGTAGCTTTCTACCTGGTTTCATGGGCGACGGGTTTTCAAGCAACACAACTCTGTTTTTGATACCATACACGAACGAGTAGGAACGTGGTGATTTACGAATAATATGAGCAAGCTGTGGACAGTTTGCCTCTCAAAGGGGATTTAAACAAAGGAATTATTGACAGCCCCATATCAGAGTTTACTGAAAGGTTTACACTTGGCATGTTTGGCAGCGGCCACACTCCTCTCCACTCCTCGAATTCTACCTTCTGGTCCCTTTTTGTGGAGCAAAGGCTCTCAAAAGGTGCTTCTGAAAGGCGAGGAACCTGCAAACATAGAGCAACATCAAAAAGGCCCATCACAAGCAGCTGGCGAGAGTGGCGAAATATCAAGTGATCTGTGGTTTGGAACCAAGATATTGTGCCTGTACGTGGGACAGATGAGCAAGAAACAGACAGGTCAAGCCGTTTCACTCCAACTATGTGACCCCCAAAAAAGGGCAGTTTGGCTCACCACCTGTGCGAGAAACGCGGTCGTCTTCGAGATCCGGGATGGTCATCACTGGTTGCAAAAAGAAATGTGTTTTTCTGCTTCTTTTCCCATGGCCAATGTGCATTTTGCAAGGGGACCCGTGGCGACCACGAATTACAAGTGGGCATTGGCCCTGGGTATTCACACTGCCCCGGCACGCCTAGATTTGGAAGGACCAACTTGTTTTAAGCAAAATGTTAACCCCGGATTAATCAACCTGCCAGATGTGCGTAATCAATGTGTGATTCATGAACTGGGTGTGGCTCAAAATTCAGGACATTTCAGGACCCTGAACAAACGGTACATGTTGTTTTGTTCTACAAGCGCCAACTTGGTGCCCATCCCCCTCAGGGCTGTCAAATGGGCCCAACACGCAACCCAAAGGGGGTCACTTAACAAAGCATTTGATCAACCAAGAGTTCATCAATCCACTGAGTTTTCATTTGAAACTGACCCACGGGTATGTGCAAAGCATGTGGGGGGGGGGGGGGGGGCGGGGGTACCCACAAAGAAAAGTTTTTTCCACTTGCTTTCCCTTGAACCACAACACAGAGGGTCAAACAGCATCCACAAAACGCAAACATCACACCCATGTATAGCCACTACTTCTGCGCATGTCCATGCGGCTTCCCAGGTCCGGTGCTCTGAGCTGCCGGAGGTTGCCCGCCGTGCCATCGAGTCCTGCCGGGACCTTGAATCAAATGATCCGCGCTTCGGAGTGTCGGCTTTTGACGTTTCTGGAGATTCAGAAGATCATTACCAGGATTTGTATCCTCTTGGATGATCATCTTTGGGGAAACCATGGAAACCCACGTCTTTGGCCAATCTACTCCTGCAGCGAGGAAGGGTTCGCTGGTTTGAAGGTTTGATGACTCGGCTTTTCTTGGCTTGGCCTGCTGTTGGTTCTTAGTCGATGGAATCTTAGTGCTTGTTGCTTTGGTGGCATGAGATGCTGATTCTGTCTTGCGAGCTTACCCTGGTGTGGCTTGTTGTGCTTAGTTGGGGTTGCTGGGAGAGTTGATGGTTTGATGGCTTGATTCTTTTTGTTCAGATGGTGTTGTGGTTTGACGTGTTATTGTATTCTGTGCTTGTCAATTGGTTTGGTCTGATAAGAGTTGGTTTGCTGGGCATAGTTGGCGTAATGTGCTGATGGTTTGTTGGTTTTAGTTGGTTTAGTGTGTTGATGCCTCGGTAGTTGTTCGTGGGTTGGGTTTGAAGATTCGACTTGTTGATGGCTTGCTGGTGTTTGTAGCACAACTTGATGTGAGGGCTTGATTATCAGGTATGTGGGGAGTGTTACTCTCATTCAGTTGATGCGGTGACGTCCTGTGTGGTGTTTTGTTTCTTCTTTGCAATAACAAATTTGTTGTTGTGTGTGTGTGTGCGCGTTGGTTGGTATAATGATTTGGTGGTTTGTGGGGGGGGGGGGGTGTTGATTTCAGATTTATGGTTATTATGTGTCTGATGGTCTTGGAGAGTTTGTTGGCTGTTGTTAGCTAGTACGTGCTTGATGTGATTCGAGCGTCAGTGAGAGTGTTTGTGTTGATTGTGTTAATGGTCGTGTTGAACGTTAGATGATTGCACGATTGATAATTTGTGTTTGTGTGATGTTATTTAATTGCCAGTCCTATGGTGCGGTATGTTGGCGTTGCGTGCGTAGTTGGTTCGATGGTTTGTTGGTTTGCCCGAGTTTGTTTGCTTGTTTAGTTTGTTGGCAAAAAGGTGTGTGTTGCTGTGGTCAGTTCTTGCTTCTTCTTTTTTTGTCGTGTGTGTGTGTTTGGTTTTGTTTGGTTCAGGTGGTGCCTACAACAGCCACAAGTTGCACATCACAACATGCCTCGCCTGTCGAGTGGAACCCGCAAGGGAACGATTGTTGTGGTGCTTGAAGTTTGAGAAGCTACCTTTCCTTGGTGCTCAATATACCTATTGCATGTACTGTTGTTCCAGAAAACTAGGAGGACCTGCATTTGTTGCATGCTTCCAGAACCCAATGAGCTTTGGAGGTTTTTTTAGGATTCAGGCGTTTTGGGCTCCATGCATTTTCGGGATGTTGCAACATGACCCATTCCCAATTCTCTGTTAAGTACGAGCACGCATCAACAGATGTGAAGTCTCAGATTCGCGTCTCTCATATTGAATCTGCAGAATCCAAGCTTGCAGGGAAAGAACTGGGACCAACACCTGGATGTTTAGTAGTTCAATTTTGCCTGTGTGGAAGAACCGTGGCATGAATCCAGGGACCAATTTTCAATCAAGCGCCAGACTCTGGACTTGATGATAAGAGTATTGTTGGTGGGGAACGTGTTCTTTTTTGGGCCTGCGAAACATTGCCATGCCTTGTGAAGCCTTTGTCTTTTGTCTTCTTTGTTCACCGGTTTTCCCTTTGTAGCAGCCAGTAATCTTTGTGTGTCGGAGCCGTGTGGCACTCGAATCGCAGTCGTCGCAAGGCTTCCACCAAGACCCGGAGATGCGGCCTTCGGCGCAGGCGAGTTGGCCGAGCGCCTTGCGTCCTATGTCCTTTTGGCTCTTTGGAGGGTCCCTTTAAGTTCAACCAAAGGGGCGGCACATCTTCCGTGGAAATTGAGTGCAGAGTTATATCTCTTGAGGCAAGGCATCCCACCAGTTTGGGAGGGTTGCGGGCGTTTAGCAAAGGTCAGGCTGAGACAAAGTGAACGCGGTTTGCCTGTTGATCCACGTGGCGGTTCAATAGACACAGCAAAACCCTTTCCAGCCAGTTTTGGGATCCAGGTTTGCGGTTTGAGCCGCTTGGTTGAGCAGACACTTGTTCAACTGGCGTTTGAAGGTCACCAAAGGAAGCCAACCAGTGTGGGAGTCACCACATGTTTGTTTCACAAACGGAAAACTACAGGAAGGGGGGAGGGTTGTTACCTTGGATATGCACATTCCCTTCATATGAATGCCGGAGTGGCAGTCAGTGGTAGTCAGAGCCAAAAAGCTTGAGGTCATGGGAGTCATGTCCTGTTTCATGCACGTGTTTTTTTTGGACGTGCAGTTGCTTGGGCTTTTGCTTCCTCGTGGCTTTGTGGTTGTCATGCTTCGCCAGAGGGATTGACAAGCAGGATGCGCGGCTTTCTTCCGACCTTTTGGGGAGCCATGCTTTCACTTTGTACTGCCTTTGTTCCGCTCGGGATGCGAACGGGTTCGTTGTTGGGGCTGCCAGCTTCGATGTTGCTCGTTGCGAAGGGGCCAGTTTGCTTGTGATCATAGCCAGGAGTACTGTGCTACCAAAAGCTTCCCTTACTCTTTCACTTGCGTTTTAGTGAAGCCTCGGAGGACTAAATCAACCAAGTGTGAGATCATAGGCCTGCGGTTGCACGGGATTTAGGGCACACAGCCACCCAACCTGCAAACTGCTCGTGCCGTGCCCATGTGCAGTGCGTTTTAGGTTAATTAGTTTGGACTTCGTTGGTTCTTACGGACACGCCCATGGTCACGCCCCAGTTCAACCTGAGCCATCTGGCCCGTGAATATTGGGGGGGAGGGGCCACCGTGGTTACACTGATACATCCCTGAATTGTTTTTGATCCCAGGGAATCTTTGATCCAACTTGGAAACAGCCCCCCATACAATCTTCTGGGATGGACATGCGCTTTGTTGGTGGGTTCCTTCCCTCAAAATATCACATTGCACTCTCGTTTTTGCGCCTCTCCAGTGTGCGAATTGGGTTTTGGGCCCCTCGGTGAGCCTCGGTGTCACAGAAGCGGGGATGTTCCTCCAGTGGGTTGCTCTTGTTCCGGTCGTTTTTTGGCGCGCCACAAAGGCTCTTCAGCTCTTGCCCTTTCCTTCTGGCAAACCAGTTGCAAGTCAATCCTGTGGAGACGTGGGTTGCTTATTTTTCCTAGTTTTGGAGGGTTTACCTGAAATCAACTATCCAAACACATGGTCCCTTGTCCAAAAAATCATCTCTACCAGCTGGTTTGGAGGATCCCTTGAAAGAAGTTGGTTTTGGGATGCTTTAACAGCCTTGAAATCCATCAGGAATCAATGCTTCCCTTTTCTACCCCTTTTTGGGACTCCGGCGTCAGGAGCTTCTCTTTAGCCTCGCAGCTCCGGAGGAGCAGGGCTGAAAGCGATTTTGGTGGTTGGACTGGTGGCGTGTGGCTGAAGGGCGGTCGAGTGATTGGTTGGTGGATTGCTGAGTGGTTGTGGTGGTTGTTTTTCTTTTGTGCAAGCACACTGAAAACACACCTTGTTTTTCCCCGGATGCGTAGCTGACAGCTACAGGTGTCTCGAGAATGTGTCTATGTGCTCAACATGTTGGGACTTAGAAAGGTGCTGGGTGGCAGTAGGGAGGGTGCTGGTACGCAGGCTGGCGTAGAGTGTCATCAGGCCCCTGTTGCTGTTGCAGTGTTCCGTTGACGTTGCCGAGTGCTGCTGTTCCACGGTGCTACTGCTGTTTGCTGCTGTTGGAGGGTGCTACAGAGCAGGTTCTGTGTTAGACTGGCTTACATCAGCAGCCACACTCATGAAGCACCGTCTTTGGGATATCCAAATTTGCCATTTGCATTTGGGGTCAATGGAGATGTATATGAGGCCTCATATATTTGGGGTCCACTGGGTTTGAGACAAATCTTGCTTTCTCTCTCTCTCTCTCTATATATATATATCGAAATAAGGGGGACCAAACGGTTGTGGTGTGTGAAGCAGGGTTCCATTTTGGTACCTGTTGTTGACCCACAGCCATAGGGTTTTATACCAGTAAATGTCCAACTAATAGATCCATTTTGGGTCCGAGTCAAGGTAAGGAGACCGCACACATTGTTTGTTTTTGTATTTTTTTTTGGGGGGGTTGCCCTATCAGCTATAGAGTTTCAAGAAAGCACACACGTTGGTTTCCCTTGAAGCAAGGTGAGTAGGGTGCCTTGGGCTCAGGAGGGAATTGCCATCTCGAAGCGGCGAACTGAGTGAGCCGGAGATCGGCCAACTGGGCACATGCGCAGCACCCAAAGCCAACTCCCAAAATGGCCATTTGGTAGGTGGTTCCTACCTGGTGTCATGGGGTGAAAAATGCGACCAAGTCGCTGGGTGTTTGGGCGCTGCTCAGGTGTCAAAATGGAGCTGGATCGTTTTGGGAGGAGGGATGCGCTGTTCAAGGGAAGCAACATGTAAGACATTTTTGAATTCGGACTCCTAGTTCAACGAAACCAACAAGACATGTGGGACTTGTGGTATTTGGATCTGTAGTTTGACTTCCGATTTGGAGCTTGGCGAAAAGGGTGGTTCCCCGAGTGTGTTTGTAGATGAAGAGGCTCACTGACTGCTTTGCTTAGACCCACAGGTCAGCTGGCAGGGTTAGGCGGATTCACAGGTTACCTGTGCCGCGGATATTGGCCGAGGGTGCAGCTTGCTACGATCGCTTGCCTACAGGGGTGGAAGCTGTGGAGGCCACCCAAGCTGAGGAGCAAGCTGCCAAGCGGCGGCTCGCTTACAACAGCAGTCTTGGATGGGACTGCCACGAACAATTCGGAGCAATTCTACTCAGATCAAAGTGCCGAGCTTTTCTTCAATGGGTGTCAGTCTCAAGCCCAGCAAGATTAGATAGTACAGAGGTACATGCATGCGCCTTCCTCTTGGGTCCCTTTGTTTTCCAAAAAAAGTTGAAAGGCAAACCCTGGCGTTCCCTGGCTTGGTGAGTTCCTGAAGACGTCCTGGACTTTGATGGGAAGACTCTTTTAGTAATGGACACAAAGTGTGGACTGCCGCCGATCCACTCAGCTGAGCCTTTAGTACTCAAACGGACACCTCAATGGTCCCGAATTTAGGAAGTGCCGCATTGGTGAGCGCTCAGCTTAGCACCCTGGCAAAGGCTTATGTTGTTGAATATCTTCTTTCGACCCACGCAGGTGTAGCATTTTTGTGAGAAGCTGTCTACTGTTTTGAGGATCCCTGTGAGCTGTTGCTTGAAGTTGCAAGGTGAAGTGTGCAGCGCCCATCCGATTTAGTAGGACTCAAAGTCAACTTCTCAGAGTCTGGGGTCTTCTCCAATAATACTGGTATATTTTAGGGGGCTAAAATTGAACCAGCAGTCTTAACTGTCTTTTGTGTACCCCAAGTCTGCCTCCTTGAACTTGGCCCCCACAGAACTCGCCGATTCGATGGCCATTCGACTTCCAGCCGACTTCCCAGGGTCTTCAGCGTGTCAGAGGGGCTGAAGTCTGGCTCCACGGACGCGGCCTCAGTCGTTTCGTTGCTATTGTTAGCTTGGTTTGGGTGTTTCTCAAAATAGAGATCGCCTTTTGTTGTCCATTTAAACTGCCAACCAAAAGGGAGTCCGAACCCAATTTTGAGAACCTCCTGCATGTTCTCATGCTTCTCCAACAACGGGTGGGTGAACGTAGATGGCACTATATGGCACTATTTCCTTGCTCGTAAGGTGGGTGACAAAACCATGCAAAGCCTAAATGGGCAGGTTGTGTCATCCACTTTGACTCGCTTTGTCCTCATACCCTAGGAGCCAAAGACTCTACAGGGGAGTTGATCAAAAAGTCCCTGTGAGGACTTTGTTTCTGCTCGCTGAAGATGTACCCCAGCGACAGCGGGCGATGTAGGTATGTGTGCTCAGTCCCAGCCTCAAGCATCCTCCGGCGTGCAGAATTTGTACCGCGGGTCATGTGAGAACTTCCGTAGTGCAAACTCCGAAGGCAATGTTGGTAAAGACTCAAGCAATCCATCCCTTTGCGCGGCAGCACTCACCTATGGGTGTTCGTTCATTACCCTTTCAATGCCAAATTTTACCTCCCAAACGCCATCGTGGGCACATGCCCAAGACGCTTTGCCCTTCGCGTGACACACTTGTGCTACAAAGGTGCAATTTGTCGAGCACTGCAGAATGGCGTTTCTCGTGTCGCTTGGTACTGAAAGGTTGCGAAGATGTAGCGGCTGTGCTGAAGCACTGTAGAATGATAAGGGCCACCCAAAACCGATAACTTAAAGAGCTCTCCCAAGGCCAAGCAAGAGGTTTTGTCAATCCCTCTTTCAGGCTGCCGTTCAATTTCTATTGAACAGCCGTTCAACACATTGAACATAACGCCCTCCCAGGGGCCCAATATACGAATATATAAATACATATATATATATACATATAGTGACATATACACATACATTTATTGACATGGTTTTCCTTCTTTCAGGACATGCGTAACCCAACCTCACTGAGGGCATCTCGGGGTCCAGCCAGTCCGGCGCTGAGTTTTGAACTGCGGCGAAGCCGGGGGTGAGATACATCATGGCAGCGTGTGTGTGTGTGTGTGTGGTGTGTGTGTGTGTCTGTGTGTGTGTGTCTGTGTGTGTGTCCTGTGTGTGTGGTGTGTGTGTTGTGTGTGTGTGTTGTGTGTGTGTGAGTGTGTGTGTGTGTGTGTGTGTGTTTGTGTTTGTGTGTTTGTGTGTTTGTGTGTTTGTGTGTTTGTGTGTTTGTGTGTTTTTGTGTGTTTGTGTGTTTGTGTGTTTTGTGTGTTTGTGTGTTTGTGTGTTTGTGTGTGTGTTGTTTGTTTTTTGTGTGTGTGTGTGTTTGAGTTTGTGTGTGTGTGTGTTTGTGTGTTTGTGTGTTTGTGTTTTTTTTTTTTGTGTGTGTGTGTGTGTTTGAGTTTGTGTGTGTGTGTGTTTGTGTGTTTGTGCGCGTGTGTTTGTGTTTGTGTTTGTTTGTTTGCGTGTGTGTTTTTGTATGTGTGTTGTGCCCGCGTGCGTGTGTCTTTGCGCTTGTTTGTTTGTTTGTTGCTTTGTTTGTTCGTCCGTTTGTTTGTTTGTTTTGCTTGTGTGTTGGCCGAGGGGAGGCCGTCCCTTGCTTGGTTTCAGAGGGGCACGAGGCGAGTTGTATTACAATCTTAAACGTTATCTTCGAGACGCCCCTTGTGGCCGGGCAAACTATCTCACCGTCCAGGGAAGAAAACGTGATTTCACCGTTGACAAATGAAGGTCCTTTCCTGGGATGGTTTCTGGTCAGCTTTCGCGTAGCATCCCTCTTGGGGTTTCGTCGCCGCACCATCCTCTGACAAGATCCCGGGTCAACACATCGCTGTGCTTTTCACCACCGCGGAAGCGTGGACGCAGTGTGGAAGGCCCCTTTCGTGGGGTTTTCTTGCTTGGTTTGCGACTTACGGAAGTTTCTTCCCATCTACCCGCGACAGCTTTTCCGGGTATGGCCGGCTGCCTCCTGCACATTGCAAGTAGTAAATAGATTTGGCTTTGTTGTTGGCCTCTTTACTTGCGATGTTTAGGGAACTGTGACTCGGACATGCCCATGCATCCGCCCCGTGGCAGTTCCAGCAAGATCCAAAAGGGACGATATGGCCGGGGCGGGGGGGGGGGGGTAAAGCGAGCTCAGCCGCCATTACCTGCACAAATCCGTGTTTTTTGGGAACGGCTTCCTAGCGCGCAAGGTCCCAAGACTTTGACGACTTGGCAGAGGTCGCCGAGGCACCTTTGCCCTCCTGCCCAAACGACCAGTTGTCGTACTGTCTGTCAGATCTAAAAGTTTTGCTTGCCGAGTTGGCGCAGCTCAAGTTGTAATCTGTTGACCGCACATCGCCAGCGATCAGGACACCCCAAGAAGCTGTCTGGCAAGGGGGAGGGTCCAGCAAAGGGTCCAGCAAAGCGGAAGAGTCCAGCAAAGGGAGGGCGTCTAGCAAGGGAAAAATGATATTTTGCTACCAAAGCATGAGTCACCTGTATCTCTAATGCATCCTTGGCAGATATTGGTACATGTAACGTACATAGGGGAATGTTTCTTTACACATACATCCAAGGCTCCTTATATTCGTAGAGCCAGTTTAAACATAACTGTTTGACCGGGTTAGCATTCATTTAGTCCCACCTACCGATTCTACCTGCGGGGGTCTTGAAAGACCGTTCTACTCTAAGGGCACCCGCTGCTGGGTCCCATGCAATATTAGTCTGTGGGAATCTCGCGCAACATCCGGCTAGAGACTCACTCGCCGTTGCGATCGTCTCGTGGACCAATGTGGCGACACCTTGTGCAAGTTCTTTGGGTTTTGCCATGTTCAAGCATTGTACTTGCAAGTTGCAAGTACATCTTGCACACCATGTGTCAATTTACTCCTGAACATGGAGCATTGAACTCTTAGGCTTTTAGGTTGACAGGAACATCCTTCAGGTACGTTAGAGAGGTCCTTTTCAGGGATGCAAATGGCAAGTCCAACTCTTGCATCCTTCTTTCGTCAAGTTATTCTGCACCATGAGACCAACAGACAATGTCAGTGTTCCGATTTTCCGCACCAACGGAGACTGCGCTTTGGGCCCTGTTTCTCGTTAAATCCTCAGGTTTGGATAAGCAAGGGGCTTTTCTTGATGCAGATTGTGTTGGAACAACCCTCTGCAACCCTTTTATTCTTCTCCCGTGAATGAGCCCTATCAAACATATCGTTCTTCCCAAACTGTCCCCGGGACGTGGGACAATTCTTCTTTCCGCTGTTGGAATTGTAGAATTTGGTGAATCCTTAAGTAGACAAACGCGAAAACCAGCATATTTTTTCCCCGGCGGGGGTCCCAGTCTACGGCCATTTTGTCCGAAACAGTGTAACTCTTGGAAAGATGGAGCACTGGCCAAGAGCAAGTTTGCCATGCCTGGGTCCGTGATCCTTGAATTCAGATGCCTTTATTGCAATACGAGGTGGCGCGTTACATGGCCCAATCTTCAACTTGCCGTGGAGTGTCAGTGTAGCCTTGAGTGGCTGGGACGACAAGTAAGCCTGGGGGCAGGCAGACGGGAACAAGAGAAACATGTGTCACAATCTATGGGAGAAGAGTCAGAAGAGAGTTTGGCACGTTCGCCCAGTTTCAGCTTTTCGCAATAGAGGTCATGTCTTACGCTTTTTTCCCAACCTTTTTGCCACTTGCACGGCTGGCTGATTTCGGGCAGGAGCCCACGCTGACAACCCACACAACCAGAGCACCGAGGCACATGCCAGAGCCCAAGATGCCGCAGGCAATGGAACAATGGGTGCGTGCTTCTTGTGAGGGTACATTTACCTTGGTTTCAAAAGGGAGCCCAAAGAAAAGTCACCATTTGTTGGTTTCCTATATCTACTTGCATTGAATAACACCTGGCAACCTTCAAGGTCAGAACGCGTAGGATACCATCAGGGTAGCATGTTTGGACAGGTGGCCTGACGCTGTCGGAGACAGCTTCTGCTCGGGGACTGGGACGGATTCTCGGTGACCGCATTGCGTTGGCATACTTTGCACTTTTCACATGCAGTGAACGACGGGAATACCCGGTTCCCCTATTTTCTGGGGAATTGTTTTCCGGTTTTTCGGCGTTTTTTTTTTCTAGTTAGACCAGCAAGGAAGCAAGCAAGGGGTTAGCCGTAACCGAGGGCTTGCTAGCAAGCAAGCAAGCAAGTAGGCAAAGCAAGGAAGCAAGCAAGCAAGCCAGCAAGCCAGCAAGCCAGCAAGCAAGCATTTGGAGCAAGTTGGCAACCAAGCACGCAAGCAAGCAAGCAAGCAAACGCAGAAGCAAGCCAGCCAGCAAGCAAGCAAGCAAGCAAGCAAGCATGCAAACAGGCAAGCAAGCAAGCAAAGCAAGCAAGCATGCAAGCAAGCAAGCAAACAAGGAAGCAAGCCAGCCAGCCAGCAAGCAAGCAAGCGTGCAAACAGGCAAGCAAGCAAGCAAGCAAAGCAAGCAAGCATGAAAGCATGCAAGCAAGCAAGCAAACAAGGAAGCAAGCCAGCAAGCAAGCAAGCAAGCAAGCAAGCAAGCATGCAAGCAAACATTTTTTAAGCAAGCAAGCAAGCAAGCATGCAAGTGTGCAAGCAAGCAAACAAGGAAGCAAGCCAGCAAGCAAGCAAGCAAGCAAGCATGCAAGCAAACAGTTTTTGTGTGTCGCTTGGCGTTGCGAGGGCTGCGCTTGGTAGGAATGTGCGGAGAGTAGAGTAGGTGGACATGACCAGAGCTGACGTCACACTGTTTCTTCACGCATGGTCACGAAAGCCATGCTTCATACGCGTGGCCTGTCCTTCTTTCTTCGAACACAAATGGTGTTACATACGGGAAGAATTGCGCTTTAAACGTCTCAACAGCCCAACCCAACAGCCAACAGCCCAACAGCCCAGTAGCCCAACAACCCAGTGGCCCAACAACCCAAGACTTACTCCCAGCAGCAGAAGTGGAACCCAGCAGTCAATCACCCCCAAGTCAAACAACCCTGAAAGAGCCCAACAGGTCAGCAAAACAATACCAAAGAACCCAACCAACAGCACAGCAGTGCAACAACCCAGCAAAACCAAGAACCCAACCAACAGCCCAACAGCCAGCAGCCCAACACCACCAGCTCCCCGGTCAGCCCCAGCAGCACAAGCCCTAAACCCTCAACCCTAAACCCAGCAAGCCTACTAGGCAGACCTAACAGTCGACAGCCCACCAGCCCAACAGCCCAACCCAACAGCCCAACAGCTTACCCAACAGCCATTAGCCCACCAGCCCAACAACAGCCCCAGCCCAGCAGCCAAAAGCAACAACAGCCCAACAACTCAGTAGCCCAGCAACCCAAGAACAACTTAACCCAATTACAAACATGAATCCCAGCAGCAGAAAGAGAACCCAACTGTCAAACATACTTCCAGCCCACCAGCCCAACAGCCAAGCAGCAAAAAGCAACAACAGCCCAACAACTCAGTAAAACAACCCAGCAGCCTAACAACGCAAGAACAACCCAACCCGACCACAAACCTTAATCCCAGCAGTAGACATGAACCCAGCAGTTGACCAGAACCCTAAACCCTAAACCCAGCAAGCCTAACAAGCAGACCCAACAGTCAAACCTAAACCCAACAACAGCCCAGCAGCAAAAAGCGACAACAGCCCAACAACCCAGTAGCCCAACAGCCCAAGAACAACCTAACCCAACCACAAACCTTGCTCCCAGCAGCACTAGTAGAACCCAACACAGTCAAACAACCCTGACAGCCCAACAGCCCAGTAGCCCAACAACCCAGTAGCCCAACAAGCCAAGAACAGCCTAACCCAACCACAAACCTTGCTCCCAGCAGCACTAGTAGAACCCCAAAGTCAAACAGCCAGTAGCCCAACAACCCAACAACAACCAAACCCAAACCTTAAACCTTAAACCTTAAACCCAACAACAGCCCAGCAGCAAAAAGCAACAACAGCCCAACAACCCAGTAGCCCAACAGCCCAAGAACAACCTAACCCAACCACAAACCTTGCTCCCAGCAGCACTAGTAGAACCCAACACAGTCAAACAACCCTGACAGCCCAACAGCCCAGTAGCCCAACAACCCCGTAGCCCAACAAGCCAAGAACAGCTTAACCCAACCACAAACCTTGCTCCCAGCAGCACTAGTAGAACCCAAAAGTCAAACAGCCAGTAGCCCAACAACTCAACAACAACCAAACCCAAACCTTAAACCTTAAACCTTAAACCCAACAACAGCCCAGCAGCAAAAAGCAACAACAGCCCAACACCCCAGTAGCCCAGCAACCCAAGAACAACCGAACCCAACCACAAACCTAGCTCCCAGCAGCGCTAGTAGAACCCAAAGTCAAACAACCCTGACAGCCCAACAGCCCAGTAGCCCAACAACCCCGTGGCGCAACAACCCAACCTATTCCCAGCAGCAGAAGTTGAACCCAGCAGTCAAACAACCCTGACAGCCCCAACAGAGCGCCCAGAAGTCGAACAACCCTGAAAGAGCCCAGCAGGTCAGCAAAAAAATGCCAAAGAACCCTAAACCTTAAACCCAGCAAGCCTAACAGGCAGACCTAACAGTCGGACAACTCTGACAGCCCACCAGCCCAACAGCCCAACCCAACAGCCCAACAGCTTAAAAACCTGCCCAACGGCTCAACAACCCAACAACCCAACAGCCCAGTAGCCCAACAGCCCACCAGCCCAACAACAGCCCCAGCCCAACAGCAAAAAGCAACAACAGCCCAACAACTCAGTAGCCTAGCAACCCAAGAACAACTTGACCCAATTACAAACATGAATCCCAGCAGCAGAAATAGAACCCAACTGTCAAACAACCTTCCAGCCCACCAGCCCAACAACCCAACAGCCAAACAGCAAAAAGCAACAACAGCCCAACAACCCAGTAAAACAACCCAGCAGCCTCACAACGCAAGAACAAAACCCAACCCGACCACAAACTGGAAAAAATACCCCAAAAAACTGGAAAACAATTCCGCGAAACAGAAGACCACCGGAATACCCTTGTTGCGAACCAACTCGTGGTTGCATGAGTTGCGTGTTCTTTCAGATGTCAATCGATTTCCATTGTTGCCTCATAATGCGTGAGCATGTAAGCAACACATGTGGGTGCGTATTGCAGTTCCCGAACGACAAGCATCAAGTCCACTTGTGGAGACAACGTAGAGCTTCTGGCACTGTTGGTTTCGCGCATCATCTCAATGCTGAAATGCATAGTGGAGGGGGATTTCAATCCAAGCATCAACCAATAGCCGCAGGAATGCCAAGCCTTGCCAAGGCAATGTTTGTTAACACTGAACCTCAGCAGCCGCACATCACTTATTACATATTTCACAGGGAATGTGCTTTCAACGATATGTTTCAGCAATGCAAGCTAAGCAAAATCACAGCACGTAGGATGTTCCCTGCCGATAAAGACTGCGCCCTTTCCTGGCCAAGGCAATGTTACATTCAAGGCACAAGGTGTGGCCAAATTACCCACCAAACCGATTTTGGCACCCGAGCGCCCTTGAAGAAGGCCCTTTAGACTATAGAAGCAGCAACGCTATTTTTAAACAGATTGTTTCAACAAGTCAACTTGCGCGTGGGCGTGTGCGTATTTGTGCTTGAGGGTACCCTTAGCTCAACAGCAAACCAAACGAAACACCACCATTTTTAGGGTCCCCCTATTTGGACCCGTCAGAAAAGGGGGGATGGCCGTTTTGTACAGCTTGGGTCACCTCAACCCCCGCCCCAAGGTCGTGGCCAACCGCACCGAAGCCTTCCGTGGAAGCCCCGCTTGGGAGCCCTGAAGTGATGGGCTACCTCTTGGTATCTGCTCCACCGAAGCCCCGACATCTCAGTTTTTATAGCTTAGTCAGCTTACTGGTTGTCCCACGCCACAATCTTAAGCCTGACTCTAGGTGAGCTATCAGTAAAATCGTTGGCACAAGGGATATGGGTTGGAGTCGAATAGGATGAAGCCCTCCTAAGAAACGAAGGCGAAGCTTTACCATTTAACCGTAAAACAAATGATTCACATTGTACATTTGGCGGCTTTTGCAGGGAACTAGCAGGTCTTGAAGCGAAGGCCAGAGGAAGCCTAAAATGAAGCTCTTTTTCACAACAATTTGATTTTGTGAATATAGGCTCTTATGAATTCGATATATTATTGATTTTTGTTTATGCAAGTGGCCCAGGCAGGGGAATGGACACCTTGTTTGCAGTGTGGTAACCAACGTGCGTTTTCCTTGAACCTGCGCACTGTTTTTCCATGCCAATGGCAAGTAGAGTTGGGTGCGCCCGAAGATGATACCACCAAGCATATTCCCTGTGTGAGTCATTCTCGTATGGCTGATGAGTTTAGTGAACCTTGATCTCGCGCGACTCGACCTTTGATTGTTGACAGACCTTGGAATTCCGTTGACGCGGCACATGAAACACACCTATCGTCCAGCACATTGTATACCTTCCAACAGATGGTTTGATCCTGCGATGACCTTGACAGCCTGAAAAACGGTTGTTGCTAATTGTTTCTACCTTGACCTGCCTGCTTGTTTGCTTGCCTGCTTGCTTGCCTGCCCGCCCTTTTGCGAGTGGGTCAGGGGATTAGATAGTTAGCCAGTTTGCTAGCTAGCTAGTTCGGTGTGATGCAGTGAGTCAGTGTGAGGGCGAGTTAGATGATTCGTTAGCAGCTTGCCTAGATAGCTAGTTATCAGTTCGGTAGTTCGGTATTTACCTGTTTCGTTGGTTGGCTAGCTAAGTTGGCTAGGTAGTTGGCTGGGCGCGCACAGATCGCCGCGTGTTTTCGTGTCGTTTTTCTCTCATGCAGGCTTCCGTGGTGTGATGGGGGGGAGGTGGGGTTAGGGGGGGTTTGGGGGGGGGGGGGGGGGGCATTCGGACAGCAGTGCAACACTGGCGAGGCAAACGCAGGTGTTTGGTTCAGGAGGAACCAATGACATTTGCCGCCATGTCAGTGGTTGAGGCCCTGGGCCTTGGACCATGAATACGCGAAGCGTGTCGCCACCACTCCTGGGGCTTTGTCCAACTGCGGAGGGACCCAATGCATGGACCGTTGGTGGCTTTCTCTCAAGACCAGGGTTGTGGGATCAAGGGGTTTCTCCCCACTTCTGTGATACAAGGGAATCCCCCTTTATATGAAGAAAATAGTCTTTGGGAAGCCCTTTCTGTTGTATCACTTTGGGGAGCCCTTTCTGTTGTATCACAGAAGTGGTCATTGCCCACAGCCGTGCTCAAGACGTTTGTTCCTTGCTGTTTGAACCTTAAGTTGAAGACACAGAGCTTCAATGGCTTGCACCCCGGGTTGAGCTTCTGCTGTTTCAGTGGGCGTGGAGGACATCTGTTGTCCGGGGCAAAGATGCTACCAAAGTTTGGTACCTGTTGGCAGATCTGTTCTGATAAGAACAGATCTAGTGTTCGGAGCAAAGATGCTACCGAAGTTTTGCTACCAAAGACGCTGGGGGAAATGCTGTGTGAAAACCTAAGAGTTGAGACTCCGAACTTGCATTGCATGGTGCTTCCAAAACACAAATGCAGACTGCAATTTTCACTGCTGTCGTGTCACGAAACGCCACGGCAATCTATGCATGCGGACCATTAGCAGGTCAGTTGCTTAGCGTCAGCTAGCTAGTTTGCGATGTGGGTGAGTGAGGTCCGGTGATTCAAGGAGTTCAGCAACAGCGGGTCCGACTTTTCAAAATTGATGTCGGGGTTCCCTTGAAACCACCACGTAGATGGACTCACCAATTGGGAGCCTTTCTCTGGGGATCGTTCGAGGCCAGAGGAGAAGCCACGGCGCCGGCCCTTCAGCGCAGATGACGTGGAGCTGCTGCGGCCGTTGTGGGGAGCCCCAAAGCGCCGTGCAGCAGGCTAAGAGGCCCAAACGTCGAGTGGAGCATATCGTTTTCCCGAGCGCGTGGTGAAGAGTTCCTTTGTTTAAGTGGGGACCTTTGAAGTGTTTAAACTGGGATAGATAAAAGAGCTAGATAGAGAGAGATAAACAGATAGATATATTTAAGGATCACTAGCTAGATGAAAGAACGGAAGATATAATCGTTAATTGTACATTGACTTATATATATATACACATGTTTACAGAGTTTGATAGAAACACACACAAAGAAGAACATAAGACATAATGAACTATAGATAGAACACTAGACAGATAGATAGAACGATAGATCGACAGGTAGGCAGATAGATAGCTATATTGACTGTTTAATCGACAGAGAGAGAGAGAGAGAGAAATATGGACAGATGCGCAGACAGATACAGATAGCTTGACCGCTACATTAGACTAGATCAGATAGTCAGGAAATATAGATAAGTACAGAGAGATGGATTGCATGCGAGTACAGCACAAATAGATGAAATGGATTTGACCAGGATAGATTAGATGGTATTAAATGGATAGAAAACAGGTAGCTGGATAGGTAGGCAGGCAGGCAGGCAGGCAGGTAGAAACAAATATGGACAGGTGGAACGATGCACACATGAACAGAAGATAAATAGGTAGATAAAAATCGACGCAGATGCAAGGATGAATAGGTACGCAGATGGGTGGATGCGAGATTAAATCGGTCAACAGGCAGGTAAATTGATAGGCAGGGACACACATTCACACAACGGTAGCTTTGAGCAATGAATCCGCATTCGGGTCCGTGGCTCCTGCCAGGTTTGAAGTGGCTTCCCCGTTAATGTTTAACGTCAACTACCTCAAGGGTGCCCATTTTTGGCAGGCTTACCCTCTTTTCGCAAATTTCACACGTGACAGTGGTTCCCTCTATGAGAATGTGATTTTCCAGGCACCCTCACTCTGGTGCTGCGTTTGTGGAGAATTTACAAATGGGGTCTTGGTCTTTTGACAGGCTTGGGGGGAGGGCCTGTGGATAAGTTTCAAAAGCCTCAGGAAGTCTGGCCCCGTCTTTCTCAAACAATACAGGTCCACCGGGGTTCCCCCGAACGATAAGACAGGCTTTGCCAACATCATCATTCTGTTCCAAGGGGGGGGCTCTACTTATTGGAAGGTGTTCAAGCAGCATTGCCCATCAAGGGGGTTGGGAGTCATACTTTCGGTTCTGGTTCAGGGCATTCGCTGCAAGCTACTGTTGCCTCTTCTTTTTTTCTTTCTTTTTTTTTTCCGGGGGGGGGGGGGGTTGAGAGAGGGGGTGGGCGAGGGTTGAACAACATCGCCTCTTTTGGTTGCAAATCTCTAGGAGTTTCCTTTGGGTGGGTGATGTTTGCAGGGAAAGTAAGAGGATCATGTTTGACAGGTGTGCGATGTTGGTTCGGAATAAGCAACGCAAAGTCTCATGACCGTCTCATGGAATGCTGGGGGATGAACGGAAACATCTCATGACTCATTCAGCCTTGAGCCTTGATGCTCGAAAGGGGCCAGCAGCGAGATCGCAGCAGTGGATGCCGCACAATCTGTAGCAGGAGCAGTTGGCTGAACTGTTTGATAGTTGATTTCGAAGCAAGCATACAAGAGGCACGTAGCTTTCAAGATCCGGGTTTACGATCTTTTCTCTGGTGTCCAAGTCTTTTGTTTCCGTCATGTGCCTGGAGTGGCACCTGATGTGCCGGTTTCTGTCTCGTGGTCAACTTGTTGTGCCTGGAGCGAGGAAGTTGTTTTTGGTGTTGCTCAAAGGTTTTCTGGAGGATGCAGCCTCTCTGATTAAACACTCCAGTTCGAGTCTCCACTAGCTTCGAGAAGCCACCATTTTCAAGGGGTTGTCCAGCTTGCCTGTCGTGGCTCCCAGCGCTTTGCGCTTTGGCCGCTGGTGTGTTCTCAGCCATGCAGTATAGAGGTTCTGGGCCAAATTGTTGCTGGACAAGGATCAGTTGTGTTCAGTCAGGGAGAGGACAACAGCTGCTCCTCCGCACATTTGCATGGAACCACAATACAATTTGCAGGTTTTGGGATGTTTGGGGGTCCATGTTAATTTACAAGGGGTGTAAACCTCTTGGATTGTTGCATGACTCGCCGTGCTTTCCGTTTGCCTTAGGCCGCCGCCTCCGCCAGCACCTTCCGAGGTGGGAAGCATGCGTCGTGTTTGCGCAACATTGGCTTTCAGGGCGACAGTTTGAAAGTGACAAAGGAGTGACGTTGAGAAGTCGGTTGGAAGAGGTTCGTGTTCTCTCAGGCTTTGTTTCTATCCAGGTACTTCCATTTTCCACCACAGGTGAGGGGAAGTGGTTTGCGGGTAGCGGAGGCCATCTTAGAGCCAAGAGAAACACCCTTACATATAATGCTCACTTCGTGTTGGTTGTTCAAAACCAATTCTCAATTATATCTTGGTTTTCCCTTGTAATGGCCTCCCACCACGGATTTCTAAAAACGGATTTCGGAAAGTCAGATACTGTACCCTCCCATGTTGAACAACGCAGACTGTTCTTGGTCCGCACTTTTGAAGTGTTTCATGGTTGGCTTTGTTCGCTGTGCGGCTGCAAGAACCGCATTGAGTATGTGTCAAAATAGGGCAACCATCTCATTTTTGTTTGTGGGTTTCCCGCTAAAACCAGCTCAACGAGGGAACCACATGAGGGAACCTTCCAAGAAAACCTGCCCAGTTTAAATCCTGCGATTCACCGGAGCCGAACTCCAGGCGAAGCTGGAGAGGGTCGAAAGGCGGAGGGGGGGGGGGCTGGTTTCGCCTATGGGGATGCCCACCAAGGGTCCCGTTGGTTCCAGGGTCACTATGGTTGAATTGGGTGTCCATTTTGGTCAGGGTTGAGATGGATAACAGTTTTGGTTTGGTTCCAATCATACCATAGATGGGTGTCTCCGTTGTATAGTTTAGTAACGAGCCGACGGATTGAAAGGGAAACCAAGCAGAAACCAACCAGCTGGAAGGGGATCAATTACCCCTAACCTTGCGTTACAACCGTGATATTTATCCTCATGCGTTCGCCAAAAGGACCTCACCTTTTCGTTATGTAAGGGCCCATCCCGAACCTTGTTGTTCCAAGTCTGGAGAAGCCATGATGACACATCAGATCCAAGTTGGTGACGATCGGCGTGGGCTTTATAAACATTCACGTTGCAAGTGACGCGAACCCAGGACTATAGAATCAGAAGTTTTCAGCGTCCCGAACGGATACCCAACCTGATACCCAACCGATAGCTGCCTCATTCGTCGTCGTCGTGCCAAATACAATCAGTTGCCCAGCTGCCAAAGTGTGCTTCCCCGCCCCCCAATCCCACCAACCCCATGAACCACGGGGTGACAGGTCGCCCTCGTCCTCACCTTCGCCCTCGTCCTCCCCCGGGCCTCCGCCGCCCCCGCCACCCCCACAGGAGGGGGGGGTCCTTGGGGATGAGGTCCTTGATGAACATGGGGAGCTTGCCATAGCGAGTTGCCCAGACTGACGGAAGGATTCCCAAAAGAGTTGATCATGACTCTGTTTGGACTCCCAACAGTGGGGGGGGGACCCATCTTGGGTCGTTTTCTGGTTGTTGAAACATCAACTTTTGGGCGACTTGAATTGAACTTCTCCTTGGCGTGCTGCTTCAAGAGCACAAACACAGTGAATCCTGGTGGTAGCGGCCAAGTGCCAATCAGTTGAGTTATCCCTGGATCTAAGTCCGATTTTTGTTCCGCCTCTCCGTGGAAAAAAAAACGCTTTTGCGGGGAAGGTCAAGGCCTTTCTTGCCAAACCCTGTTCTATTGCACGTGTCCCAAAGGCTCTTTTGGAAGGAGAAGACAGTCTTTGATGGAATCAGCTGAAGTAGTTTCTGCAAACAACGGAAATGATTCACTCCTGAAAGTTTTCAGATCCTGTCTCCATTTTCGTTGGAATTGACTTTAGATAGTAATTGGGTACCCTTATCAAAAAAAGCACGCAGTTCGAAAGCCAGGTCCTGTAGAATCAAACAGGATTTAAATTGCTTCATTGGCAACCATCAGGGAACTGCTTGTGCAATTCGACATGTCGATTTGTTTGTAGAGTTTTTTTTTGGGGGGGAGGGCAGACAGTGGGCTTTCTTAATCGGCTGGATTCTGGGCACCAAACAACGGATTGGGGGCTCATTTGGCCAAGCCTTGTGAGGATCGATGCCTTTAAAGAGGTATTGGCTAAAACGGCCCAAGCCAATCGCGCTAAGCATTTCAACCTCCTTGGCCACTTGAGTAGGTAGGTGGTCCACCTGGTTTGTTGGTGGTTCATAAGGCCTACATATATGAACCAGTGTTGCCATGCTAGACTTCTGTGGTTTGGCCGATGCTCCAGTTGGAGTTCGGTCGGATGCACGGCAATCCGTTCGATCCGGCCCCGGCCGAAGCTCAGGAGCTCCGGTATCCCAGGCGCGGGGAGATTTCGTCGCGGAGTTGGGTCCCCTTGGGGGGTGAAGCAGGAAGCTCGGCTGGGAGTCCTGCAGATTTTTGAATTTGCTTGCCCGAAAATGCGATTTTCCAACCACAAAGCCAAAAGGGCCGGATGTGTGTTCCCTGGGGATGTGGAGTGCAGCCGGAATGAGGGGCCGCTTGCGACCCCGATGGTGAGGTAATGGGCACGTACAGGGGATGTCTATACCGAAGCAGGGGAAGTGTGTCGTTTACTTTCAGCCAACTGTACTCCAGATGCCAGCTTCCTTTGGGTATATTTTGAACCAAAACAACCTGGTTTCTTGGTATACCGCTGTAAATACACCTTGTGTTGTCAGGGATTGACATCATTGCGCAACAAATAGTGGGACATTTGGAGTACGGGGTTGAGTTAGTATCAAGCCACCAGCGCATGATGCTCAAGCAAAGAGACCGTTGGGGTCCTGATGTCGCCTTTTCTGGGGCGGGGGGGTGGGGGGTGGCAAGGGACCGCTTTGTCAACCACCTTGAACAACCATCTCAAAGAAAGTCGCTTTTCCCTTGTCTAAATACATTGCCCTGTGGGAGAACAAGCGTCGGCCTTGTTCTGTGCAATTATAATGAGCTCACTTTTGGGGGAACGAGCTCAGCGGTGATGAACTTTTTTCGGCGAACAAGGCGCGTGGCGCCCCTTGACCAACCATGCTTCGACATGCTTGGGATGGCACAACAGCACATTCGGGACGACAAGGGGTGGATTTGTTCGCGGACACTGTGTAAGAATCGGATAAGCTTGCTTCAGGGAACCCTCGTGGACCGCATGTGCATCCCCCCCCACCCAAGCAAAGCGTTTTGTTTTTCTCAAGAAGACCCGGAGTTGGGATTCTTGCGTTCCCGAAAGCGCGGCTGCGTGAAACATGGAAACACATTCTCATAATGTTGGAAGGTATTTTGGAAGTCAAGGGCTGGAATGTGCCGTGCATGGCCTCTTAGTATGTTTTAGCACGGCTCTTTCTGTGTTCTGAGCGGCCCGTCTACTTGTTCATGTTCTTAAACGGCCCTAGCTGTATCCTTTGTGGCTTTTTCATTTTAGGGTTGTGCCCTGTGATGCAGTTTCGCTCTAAAGACGTGAGGTGTTCGGGTTCCACTTAGTCCACCTACGCCCAACTTTCAACGTGCAGCCCTTTGTAATCCCGTGCCAGGAGTAACGCACCATCTAAATGCTTTTGGTTTACTGGGGGTTCCCAAAAATTCACGTTTTTGGAAGTTGCCCAGATCCATGTAATCAGAGTGAAACTTGCTAAGGTCTGTGACAACGAACCCAAGAGGGGTCCCGGTCTAGAGCAGTGGTAGACCATTGTTTCGCCTAATGTCAGGTTGCCCAGTAGATCAGTTGCCACGAAAGGAGGCAGCCTTTGACTTTTCTTTGGGTTGTTGCAGGATGGTCCGCTGCCTAGACGGGTAAATGGAATCACTTGGCTGCCTGTCCAGCGGCTGCAGTCAACACACAACAGGGCAAGCTCTGTTTTCAGCCGGGCAAACTACTTGGCAAGCAAGGGGGGGGTCCAAATAAGGGACCTATGCAGTTTCTCTATGCTCGATCCGGCGCCTACGCTGAGGCCGAGGCCAATGTCTCGTGAGGTGGGGCTGACGGGGCACGGGGTACTGCCGCCTTTCAGTTTCATTCTTATGCGTTTCTCAAAGCTAGGGACCCACATGGGTGTGGCTCAAAATTAAACAGCTGGGGTTAGCAGGTTTTGGTCTTTGGTTCCATTTACCAAGGTGCCATTATGGTACATTTGAGCCACAGCCACATGTCCCCTTTTGGCCGATTTAGATATCGCCTTTTGGCCCATGATGGGGCGATGCTGAATGGGAACATGTTTAAACACCCTGTTTGACTTGAAACACTGTTTGGACCCTCAAGAAGTTTAAATCCTTTGTGTGCCAGCCCCGCTGAATAGACCAGGTCCAGCTCAGTGAGTGTGGTCATTAAGGGGAGATTAGCCTACTGGGATTGACTTGGGCCACTTGGGGGGTTGGAGGGCGCTACCGTAGGCGTGCTAGCAACAGCCCCACATGGAGGGTGCAAGTGGGGGGGAAGGTGCTGAGCTTGTCAACTAGGCCACTGAGTGAGGCTAGCAGAGAGATTCTTCTCACTGCCAGATTCTGAATATTGTGTTTTTTCCTCGAGCAGGAACATTTCTGAATGTTTCGACCCCCGAAGATCTCCTGGATCCGCAACCATGCCACACACTGGCCTCATTGCACACATGCTTAATCCAACAGCCAAGTGCCATTTTCGGCAACCATGTTTCGTTCTTTGTGGGCACTGGGTAAGTAGGAATTGGATCCAGGCGGAGGCTAATCAGTCAATCAACAGATAAGGAGTTCAGAACCAAGCTTTTCAACTTTCTGGCCACTGCACTTGTTTCGTGGACGCTCTAGGTTAAGGTTGTAGCGTACGTGTTTGTGGCGAAAGTAACATTACCTGTTCTGTGCTCTGTTGAAGACTCTTCACGATTATCTACAGGATATCAGCCAATCTTCAACAACAAGCAAGGGTGTTGGGCAAATGCAAACAAGCTGTACGTAGATATTTCTGTGACCTTGTAGCGGTAGATTGCACCCTGTAGGCGGCTTCTCTCTCGGATGATGCTGCCTATTTTGGCTCCAGGTTCTATCAGTCGGCCTGAGCAACTGACACAAAAACAGCGATGGAGTAGTCAGCTCACATCTTGGTGTGCCCCAGCAAGACCGTCACTGGGTGGTATCTATCTCTGGCTGCGCAAGCAAGCAGCGGTGCTAGCGACACGAATTGGTTCGACTCCGCCATGAGCGTGCCTCACAAGATCTTTTACTGGGTGGAAACCACTGTGGGTGGGGAGCTCAAATCCGAAGGTCCAGACCAGGCCTTGGGACAATTGTTTAAACAACCAGACCCTGAGCAACTTCAAGGGAAGCCGCCAGTGGGATTTTCAACACAAGAGTGGGTTAAACATGTTTAAACATGGTTGACCCGACCCTGGTCCGACCGAAGAGGAAGCTTCTTTTGCCGGGTCATCCCTTATTCTCCAATGGAGAATTATTCTATCTTGCCCAGGTTCATTTCATGGGCGTGCCCCATTTTAGAGGAGGGCCTTTGGGTGCACCCCCCATGAATCCGCGGCATTTACTTGTCGAGGTCAGGCAGCGGACTTTGGGCCAGGGTGCGGGGAGCTGGAAAAAGGTGTCCTGAGTCTACAGCTGCGTCTCGGTGTCCTGTTGGAAATTACTCCCCACAAAATGCCATCAGCGATCTAGCATTTGTTAGGGGTATCGCGCAGCCCGCTGCGCCCCTCACTTAACATCTCATGAGGTAGGCGTGCGGGTCTCTCGGATCAAGAATCAAGAATCAATGGCGCTTTAGTATGGGATTCAAAGAAGAGACAAAAGACACAGTGTTTTCTGTGCGACTGCACAGGGTGCCCTCGTATTCCAATAGTTTGGGCCGGGTCAAGCAGGGAATTCGCTGATTTGTTATGGGCTTAGTATTGCCCAGTCAGATGCTTATTGGCTTTTTGGGAGCTTGGACAAATATGTGGTTCTCTAGGGGGTGTTGTTCTTGGGGGAAGGGATCAATCATAGGTGACCAATATGACTTCTTTGCATGGGATTAGGGCGCAACGCGAACCTCGCGGCGCGCGTGTCGCGTGCCGAGAACATGAGTACGGCGCCCTGAAGCCCGAGAAGGTCGCGACCTCCCATGGCGTCCCTGTCGAAGCCTCGGAAGGGACTTGCGCGGAAGAAGGGATAAACGCAGCGACAGGGCGCCTGGAAAATAGGGGTCAGGGTTTATAGGTTTAGGGCTTGTCCATTTTGTGGCGTTGTTTAAACAGCTTCCTTGTTCTTTAGTTTGCCCTCTTGTTGGTGCCTTTCAACATCCTTCTCCAGGCCCTTTTTCAAGCGAACTCTCTCTAAGGGTTGGTTTTTAAGGGGTACATGCAGGGAGCCCTGGGCGGAACAAAGCAGCGGGCAAGGGCGTTCCATTTTTCCAGGGTGTATCCAAAAAGTTGCCCCTTGAAGTCGACAGTAAAGGGAACCCCAATATACGCCCTGGGGCAGCACGCCCATTCAAGTCATGGCTGACACAATTTAGATAAAACTCCTTAGGTAAGAATGGTGGTTGCACTAGGAAAAATTGTTTTATGGCGGTTTCATTAGCCCCCAGTGTATTGATGGTGGGTGGAATACCAGGGCAAGTAAGACCATTCTCAAGGGGATCCTTTTTTTAATTCCCCCAGAGTGCCAGGTATCATCCCTGTTGGTTCATTCTTGGAAATGTTCACAAATTCTGATGTGGGTCATCCACGATGGTCCAAGGCGCCCAGACATGGTTCACTGATGAATGTTTCTTGAAGATCAGATGTTCACTTTTGCGCGATGTTTCTTGGCCCTTTGTAGAGCCACTTTACGGGAAAGCCCCTGGCGACTCGAATATTTGTTTTTCCTTTGCTTCACTTGCAACAATTCGGGCAAACCCCCTAATTGTGGAACGAAGACAGCTGGAGTCCGAATGTGATGAGCGTGGTGAGTAGAACGTTCCGAAACCGCCAGGCAAAAGAGCTTTTCAAGTACTGGCAGAAGGAGATCGACTGCGACAAGGTTCAAACTTTTGGGCTCACACGGATCGAATGGCGAGCCGGTGAGTTGTTTCCAGTGGTTCTTGGCCGCGTTGTAAGTTTATGGTAGAAAAGAAGTGCACATTGTTCTGTTTAACATGTATATATCTAATACATATATATAACATTATATATATGCACATGCATTGTAATGCAATTTGATGATTTCAGAGTTACGTGTATGAAGAGAACATACACTCTGCCGTTCGCCCAAAGACCGAAGGCAGGCTAGGCCAGCAACCCAGCAGCACTACATGCCGGTTTCGTTTGGGATTCCATTCTTGTCTCTCTGTTTACCTACACCAGTTCAACTTAGTCTAGTTTTCCGGATGTTCAGTGGTAGCTCTTGTTCCTTGTTGTTTTGGTACGCAAAAAAGTGGCGCACCCCAGAAAGCGTTTGCTTTGTCCATGGTTCGGGCCACTTTTTGCAAGTGGGGTTGTGCTGCCCGCCCGGAGCAATCTCATTGATAGACAAGGCGTTAGCCTACTCCCACGTGTGAGGGTCCGCTTCGCAACCTACTGTCATGACACTGTCATGTATATCACAATATTTGCAGTTGGGGGACAGCACATGGCACCATTTCCGGAACTACAGTTTAGTCATCTCCTCAGCTTACCCACATAATAAAGGGGAATTCTGCCATTGATGTTCACCGTTGTGTCAGGGTGTGTGGTCTTTGTCGGGTGCCAATTAACAGTTTGGTTTAAAGACAAAAGGAACACCATTCTTGGAGTCTCCGTATTTTGACACATACCGGTTTATGGTGGACCTTCTTTCAACCCAAAGCCATGGCCTGGTGCGAGGAGAGTGGAACCCGCCGGATTCTGTTTAGACAGAAGATTCCGTCTCAAGATATGGGGCAACCGCTTGGATGTTTCCCGCTCAAGCACACATGTCTAGAGGTGGACATATCAACAAAAAGGTACCGTCACACTGCAACCGCAGAAGGTGTTGTGTTTCCGCGGAAGATCGTGGCAGGGTTGATATGCTCCTTCCAGAATTGCATTTAATCTTTTCCAGAGCTGCTAGCAAATCGTGCACATGAGTTCCCTTGCGGAAGCTACCTTCCTCAGCTTCTAGAAATAGCTTGCGCGCGTCTCGGAAGCACGGCTTGCAGAAGGTACCCTTCACAGCGCAGAAGCTTTGCGGAAGGGCCCGTACGTTCATTCAAATTTGAAAGGAATATAAAGCCATCACGTGAGTGCATTTAGCTGGACACTGTGGGTTCCCAAGCTCAGAATCTTTTGGATGGCACTTAGATGGGCCCCCTGGATGGCGTGAGGCGACTGTGTTTTGGTATTCCTTGGGGCGACTGTTTGTTGGGAAACCCCAACCAACCAGGGGAACACGGTACCACTGGGCAACTTGGTGCATTGGAGTTTCGTTGGAAAGCCAGAACCGAAGCCGCTAATAATTTTGTTAAAGCCTTTATCTTTGACCCCTGGAAAAATGAGAAAAACGCACCGCCGCTGTCTCGCTTGCGGAAAAGAAGCGATGCTGATTCGCGAGGCAGTGCAGACGCTACCCCGGACCTTGACGCTGATCATCTTCTTCGCGCTGATGCTGTTGAGCCACGAGGCGCAGCTTTGGTCGTTCGGCGGTCTGCTGATCACTATTGTGTGTGTGTGTGTTTTTTTGGGGCCCCTGTTTTGGGGTTAGTTTAAAAGGAAACCACACGAAAAAACAGCCACTTTTGGAGAGCCGCCTCAAAAACATATTTTGGCTGGAGGAGGTTGAACTCTGCGCACCTACAAGTGGTTCTCTTAGTTGTTGGTGAACAATTCGAGCTTGCCGTAGTAAACTAGAGGAGTTTATGTGGGTAAGCCCCCTGAAAGTGGTTCTTACTTACTAGAGGACTTGAACCACCATGTTGTTTGTAAACACACGTTTGGACTTTTGTTGGTGAGTTTACCGGTTCTCTAAATTACTGTTGGGACCCGACGGACCCCCCGCCCCAAAACCACATGTTAGGAGGTACTTATGAGTATGTCCCTTCAATGGCCCTACTTTACCTGGTACAGGTTTCACCCATAGCCCACATTCGCGTGTGTTTGTGCTGGTTTTGGCCGGTGGCTGCTCACGGGCCTTGGATCGTACCCATGCGGCTATGTTTGGAGGAGGTTTGCTTTCAACATGAAGCAACATGTTGCACGTTTCTTTCGCAGGGTGTCTAACCCTGTTCCTAGAGGTGGCTGCCACATTCTTTCCAGGGATCCGCACCGTATAGAAAAACACCAACAACTGAGTGAAACAGCTGGTGCTTGAACAGAATTATGGATGAACGGAGACGGGAATCAACCTCTAGAATGTTGGAACTGTCCCGTTGGTTCTGTTGGAAGGATATTTGCTTTCCAACTGAAGCAACAAAAAAGGATGTCAGCCACTCTGTGATTCATTGGAGGGGTGCGCAATGGATCTTACCGTGTGCATTCATTGTTCAAACACTTGGTAGGGCAGCCAAGTGTTTGTTTCAAAATCAACGTACATAATAGTATGACACATATTCAATTGTTGGGTCGGAGGGGCTTCCCTTTCAAAGTCAAACACAAGAAGCGGGTTTCATCTAGTTGTGGGAGAGGATTTCTGTTCAGAATCAACCAGCATAGGTGTCATGTTGTTGCTGGAGAGGAGTTCCTTTAAACATCGACAATCACAGCGTAAGGTTTTTTCACGTCTTGGATTTGTTTGTTGAATATATTTGCCTCGTAAACCAAACAATAGTAGTAAAAGGATTCACCCAGTTTTGGTTGTTGGAGGAGTGTTTGTGTGTTTTTATTTTTAAAGAGAAAGCATCAACCAACTCTGTAATCATTGAAAGGAGTTCACATCATTTTTCCCCAACAGTTGAAAGCTTTGGGGTCTCAGCTTAGATAGGCTCTGGGGTGGTCTGGGGCGGCCTTGAGGTAAGGTTCCACGAGGGTTCCACCAGGGTTCCACCAGGGTTCTGCGAGGTTCTGCGAGGGCTGCGGGGTGGCGCGAGCACTAAAAAGAGCACCGCATGCTGTTGGGGTTATCACCTGAGCATATGTTGTTGGAGAGCGTTTCCTTTCAACATCAACCCATGTTGTGTATGTGTTTTGTTGACAATATTGTGTCATTGGCTGCACATGTCTGCATTGCGGTGCATGGTTTGCGATTTCTAGAAAGCACTGCCCGCAGTGGACCGATGCCAACATGCGGACCGAATGAAATTTCCGCCAGTGGAAGCACTGAAACGGCACGGTGTTGTTTCAATGGCCGCGTCAGCATCTGTGGGTGTTCGTTTTTTGGGGGGTGTTTTTTTGAGGTGGGTTTCAGGTAAACAGAACACCTTGTGCAAAGCCATGTTTCAACAAACTAGGCTTGCCCCTTTCCCATGGCGCTGTCCATGGGAGGTGTTTCGCAAGCCCACCATGCGGGGCTTTGGATAAAGTGAGATGGGTTTGTCGCCTAAGACAAGTGCTCGGTGTGTGCTCGGGATGTTTGTGAGCCCGAAAAGTACTATTGACCGCTGACCTGTCGACAAGATGGCGGAACCTGGCCTTAAATATATAATATTTTCTCTCGAAAGGGGGGTCGGGGTCACATTCTCGGAAGCAGTGGTATTGATATCAGTTTCCATTGCTCTAGCGGAGCCAAATTATGTTTTCATTGTGTTAACGAATCAAAGAGTAGGTTCCCCAATGTTCCCCACTACAGACGGATTCCAGCCAAAAAATCAAAGCATATCTCCACCCTGAACGCGGAAGGAGAAAGCCGCTAGTGGTCCCTCGTCCTATTTACCTTCAACTTGGGTTGTTTACCTAACCACCACCAATCACTCGTTCTTAGCTTCTTGACGACGACTTTAGTGATGCTTCGGGATATACTTCGTTTAGAATCCTAATTTCCACCATGAATGTAAGACAATCCTTTCTACAGAAATAGCTAAGAACTAGATTTTCGCTCAGAACAGTACATGCCAGTGACATCCCTAAACATGTCCTTCTCGATTCTAAATTTGGTGGTCTCCAATCACAACCGCACAATTTTTGAACGGCCGAGTTGCCAGGACCTGGGTTCCGTCTTTTCTTTGGGCGGAGAGGTGCCTGGAGCAAGTAAACCGACGCCGCGCACTTGGCCAGGTCCTCGGCCCCGCACAAAGCATCGAGCCCCTGGGATGCGAGAGCGCGAATCCGCGCAGAGGGGTCCTAGGCACTGGGGCGCGACCCCCGGGAAAACCCACTGGGGGAGCCAATGATGAAACTTGTGAAACAGTGGCGGTTGTTGCCCTCGATTGTGTTAATGCTCGGAACGTCAGGGACGTCAGTTGTGTGTTTGTGTTTCCAAGCGGTCTGATTTTGATCAAAAGAAGAGAAAAGGCAAGGCCAAAGGCAAGGTTCCATCATGCCCTGGTTGCAGATGCCTCGCAAGCACCTGGGTTCAGGGTTCTACTTTTTGACTATCTCAGGGTGGACTTAAACCCAGGAGTGGCTCATTCCCACCAAAGAGAAACCCCTGGGTTAGTCAAAAAGTTGAACCCTGCCTGGGTTAGTTTCAACTTGTGTTGGTCCTGGAAAGCTGCCAAATGTCTCTCTCGATGCACCGCCTGGCAGCCGAGGAAAGCCATCCGCTTCGACATCGAGTCTTCGGCTGGAGCTCAGGTCATGTTCCGTCAAGGAAGACAAAAGTAAGGACATATGGCTGTGGTTGTCAAAACCAATGGGATCCCATTTCGGGGTAGGTGCACCACCCATTTTAGAACCTATTTTAGTGGGGATTGGGATGTTCACCCATGGCCATATGAGAGGCACACAGAATCACCCAGAAGTCTGATTGATTTTGACGATGTGTTCCACGTTTTCAACAACCCAATCCTATTTTTTAGGCAGTGATAGTAACCAAGAAAATAATTTCTCTACCAACAGGTGCTAAATGTGATGTTTCGCCCGATGGCAGACGGCAAGTGCACCAGACTCATTTCTTTAGGGTAGCCAATTTTCCACACCTGACATACAAACTGACCACTAAGTCAAGCAAAGCGGAGGCGTTTTTCGAGATTTGACATCCATCGACGGCAAACTGTCAAGCCCTTTGGGCCCAGGATCTACTTTCCCCAGGCAATGGGAACCTGGGTTTTCCAACCCCAGGTTGATGAGTAGGGGTGTGTTGCATTGAACAGAGTGGCCTTCTCTGCCAGGGAATGTTCCGCCAGGTGGACAAGTCCGGGATCAACCTTAGCTGGGTTTGATCCCAACCCAGCTATCATGCGGCAAGCCACGAAGTCAACTACACATGCTCCTTTCAGGAGTGGCTGAGCAATTCGCACCATCTCGCACCCTTTACGGGATAGGGGTGGCAGGACAGCCTATGGGTGAAGTTCCTGGCCATCAGTATTTCCTCAAGTTTTTGCATTCTTCCGAGTAAGGAGGTTTCTCAAAATAGTGCTTCGGAGATGGCAAGGGCTTCCTTTGGTTTCCTTTTAAAACCAACCAAAAAGCGTCCATTTTGAATATTTTATTTGAGCCCAACGCAAGTACTTGGCTGACCGTTCCTGCTGGCAGACGTGTCGCTCTATCTTCGGGACGCTCGTGAGATGGTTTCGCCTCTGACTTCGTTGAACCACGCATGCAAAAGGACTCCAGGATACCTGAAACACACATCTCTAGGGGTACCTTCGGCATCCTTCTTTCTAAAAGATCACCCAACACCCTGGGGAAACAGCTGGTTCTTCAAAAAAAAGATGGTTGAACATAATCGGGAATCAACCCTTAGAATATTGAAATGTATGTCAGCTTCAGTCCCGGATTTTGCGGGATACGCCCGAGGAAGAGAATGCCAACTTCGCCTTCAACGGTGTGGGTACCTTCGGCAACAAGAACTACCAGGATGCACCTCGGCTTCGGCTTTTTTCGCATCTCCGCCGTTGAACATGCGGAGACCACCGCTCTCTGGGTACCTCCTTTTGCCTCGGCTTTGGTTTTTGACTGGCTGTCAAACGCTTTGATTTGCTGGCACGCCTTTTAGCTTTTGACCTTTTGCTGTTAGGGTCAAAGGCCAAGCCAAGAGCTGCCTTTTGGATGGGATGAGAGTATGTATTGGTGTCCAGCATGTGTGGTTCAACCACTCTTCTCCAGCATCCGAATTCTGGGAGTGCCCGAGAGTTGCCATGTTAATAGAATGTTGCTTGCGAGGTGCTGTCTCTCCAAATGGGACTACTTCACCAGGCCAACCAAGGGGGACTCACTATAGGCATTTAGTGGAGGGCGGGCCACCAAATTGGGCAGGCATCCCCCTGTCTGACGTGAGTCCGTTCAATTGGGTTGCAGCAAAGCTTGATAACCATGTTAGTAGAACCAAAAACCAGTGAGTTTGGGCGCTGCTCAGATGGAGTTTCCATGAGGTCAACAACTTTGCGGACTTCTACTCATGGCTGCGCTTGGGCCTGCTGCTTAGGGGGGGCCACCACAATTTTCTGAGCGAGGGTGTGCGCTTGTTTTCAGGGGAATCATAAGGAAACTTCATGTTTCAGGGTTCTCCTATGTTGACAGACCCATTTGGGCAAATGCAAACGCGACCTGCCAATGGATTTTGGTTCCCCGTCCCCATTATAGGGGTGGATCATCTCTTCTTCACATCTTGCTCGATGCTTGTCGCTGCATCTCTGGGATCTCCTTGGCACGAATCGCTCGAGAAGGCCCGCTGCCTGGAGGCTTAAGCAGCCAGACCGTAGTTCGCTCAAAGGAACCACAAGGAGGTAGATTTAACAACGTTGGTTTTAACATGTCATAAGGGCTAGGTACAACCTTGTGGGAGCCTAAGAGTATGAAGGTGTGATTATGAAATCTAGTTGTGTAGTGGCCCTCCTGCAATCCTAGGGTCTAATCATAATGAGGACCGGGTAATAACATAATATACACACGAAACCCGTGTGATTCACATGACCAGCTCCAATTTTAATGTCCTAAACGACAACATGACAAATGACTCGGGCAGACACATGTATTAAATTGTCTGAAAGCCCTCCCCCCCCTTTTTGTTGTAGCGCAGTATGTTCCCGTGCTAGCTCCACTTTGGATATATCAATCAATACAACATTGCAATGTCAAGAGTTACAAGGGCAGCCGGAACTATCAATGTTTAGCATTCCGGTTTCGATATACGCCTAACTGAGTGTGAGGCAACCCTAACATACGCGTCAAGAGTTGCAAGGACAGCTGCGTCTTTCAATGGTTTGGAGTGTCCCCTCGTGCTAACACCGACTTTGATATACGTAGGCTTCAAATACAGTTCAATCGTTTTTCGCAGTGGTTTACGCAGCCCCTTCTATGTAAAGGTAAAATTTGGTAGTTTCCAGTAGGAACTAAGCAGGTCGAATTTGGTTGTTGGCTCACCTTTCTTATAACATGGTGAGGGGGCCATTAAGCAGCTATTGGTGACTGTCAGCCTGTCATACCTCTCCAGAGATGCCAGTTCCAGTTGGTTCAAGGGATGTCAATTGCAAACATCGTAAGAGGTGAACATACTGTGGATGGACGACATCCTGCACCCACGAAACTCTGGAAGGATTCCCCTGCAAATACCCACCAAGAATACTTCCAACCATGGAACCCCCAAGTGGTGCGACCTGGATTTCGTTGGTCCACATCGGCCCCGGCGCAAGCCAAGCGCTTGCCGCGCGCGAGGCTTCTCGGCGGTGTACCTGCCGCAGACGAAGGCCGTCTCCGAAGGCTCCACGCTGCCGAGCGCAGCTCGCTGGAGGGCAGCCGGCCATCCGGGTCCAGTTGGGGAAGTCTGAGACGCGAGGATGCGGAGCCCGGAGAGTACGTATTACCCATGCTGTGTGGTTTGTGTTCTTGGAAAACGAACCTCAAATGGGTATCCTCAAAGCATGCAAACCCAGATTGGTAAGATTTCCTAGGCGCTTAACAGGGACGCCCCCCCAAAGTAGTCTTGAGAACCCTGCAAATGTTCACTTTGGGCCCAGTCTTCTTTGAAACCCCCAAGTGCAGATTTGGCATGAGGAAACATTGTTCAAATTATATATGTTATACCCCCCTAACGTGCGGGCTTATTGAAGTGGGCTGCCAGCAAGTGGGGCCCATGAGTTTTGGCGACATTTTAGCCCACTGTTGACCCGACGAGCGTTTAGGATGGCTTGCCGCAAGCCAAACCTCCTGATTTTGAAGGCCGGACCCAACCCATCCCTGCCTATTTTTTAGGACCCACAATCAACACAGGGGCATTGTTCACTTCGGAAAAGATCCGCAGAGGGCCATACTGAGCCGAGGCATAGTCCCCGCGAAAGGCGGTCCAGAATTATCAAAGTAGTCATGTGAAGTTTCGTGAAGAGTCCTATCCATATTATGTCCATGTGATTATTTGATATTATTTGCACGATTTGGGCCCCTTCCATGTCACGCGTTGATTGTGGCTAAGGCGGGCATCGGGCAATTGTGCCATTCATCTAACCGTAGGAGAGTGGATGCAGTGGGGGGGGGGGGGCACCAACAGTGGACTTGCTAAACATTGCAAGTGGGACAAAGGAAACCCTTAGTTAAATATGTCGACATTTGCCAGTATTGCTTGTGCAAGTCTCCTTGAGTGGCTCCTGTAGGAGCCTTCCTAGTGCTTGTCCAATATCTCGACAGCGGTCATCACAAGCAAACAACATTGCTATTTGACCCACCATCTACATATATATATATATATGTATTAGCACATACCAGTGAATTCTGAAGGAAGTTAGATACATGGGGGTGGTACCATACATATATATATATATATATATCATATGTATATGAACATATTATACATATTCGTCAGGTGCCGATTGAGACGAAGTTTCCTGGAGAAATCCTTCCCAGTGAGTATGTAGGTCGAATTCCCTACATAGCAACCATGTCCAACCGTCCAGTCGACCACGGTGCGAAACCATCCCATTGCCAGAAATAGCTTGCCTTCTTGCTTGCCCCCTTCCATTTCTTTGCTCAAGCAATAGCTTTTCTTTGTGACTGGATTTGGCCCTACCACAACTGAGGTGTCGCTGGACAAGTACACTAAGGGCTCGTACCTGGAATACAACCGCGCCACGGCCATCGAAGGGATCGGGCGAAATAGGTTCCGTTTTTTTTGAGGATACCCTTTTCAGGCTACAAAGGAACACCAAGAGGACAGCCATCCGTAGGGGGATTTATCTATTTGGGGAGTTGGATCCGATCCGATCTAGTCCCAGAGATCAACACAGCGCAAGCAGCAGTTGGAATCGGTAGAATCGAGACGTTTTGGCTAGCTTACCAATTCTGGGATACGGGCGAAAGCCAGTCCATGTACGTCCTGCACTTGGCCTCCAATTCCTGGGCAGTTTAGGTTTCGGAGTTAAAGTGTTCGCAGACGACCTGTTTAGACCTGTTGACAGTGTCTCTGCAGATTTCATGTACGAGCACCCTTTTGCACGCCGCCCTGCGTGAGTGAATGATTTTTTAGCAGTTTCTCCTCCCATGTTCCATGATTGAATGATAGTTGGTGTGGTTTTCCTATACAGTTCTACGCCGGCAGGCAAAGCTTTATACCAGATCTCTTGACAGGCCAGCACTCCACATACTCAACGAATGGGTCAACAAAAAGCAGGAGGAGCCACAATGGGCAGATTTTGCTGAGCCTGGAATGAACTTGAATCAATGGGAATGAACGGAACGGGATAAACTGAGATGGTACTGGGATGGGTGTAAAACAGCGCTCATCAACACCATATTATGGAGACCAAAAGGAAAACCACCAAGCTTTGGGTTCCCTCATGTTCCAGTCTACACACTTCAAGCAGGAGTGTTTACATGTTTTGCCAATGTTGCTAGTGCTGTTGTCCATCCGAGGGAAGGTCGGGCCGGCGAAGCTATCACAGGAGAAAGCGCAGGCCGCGATTCGGAATTCGGCGCATCGCCCAGACGTTGCGACTGGAGTCGGCTCATCGGAATGGACTTGTGCTGTGCCCTTTTTCGCCTGCATGTTCGGGAATGTCCGGTTGTAACCGGTTGGCACGGAAGAATCCTCTCGGCCACCAGGCTGCTTTCTTATATGCCTGTCAGAAACAGCAGCCCCTTTTTGGGGTTGCTGTTTTGAGACATACCCACTCCTTTGCAGTTCGCTTCGGAACAGCACTGAGACGTGTTTGAGTTTCGAGGGTGCCGCCCAGGGATGGGAGCGCTGGAACCTCGATTTTTACTGCCTTGAGTGTTGTGTGTGTGTGTGTGCATGTGTGGTTCTCTTGCGGGTTTTGTCATCTTGAAACTGCATCCTCGCGACAGGCCAAGCCCTGCGACAACCAGCCGCTGGTCCAAATCGTCAGCGACACGGGGAACATCACCACTTCTGCGACTGACTGCCACAGCCTAGGCCAGGAGGGAAAGTAATGGATCCCAGCAACAGGAAATTATGCAAGAAAGCTGGCAAACGCTCACCACAAATAGTATTTGGATGTATTTGGCTAATTGGCTAGTTGGTTTTCAGACAACTTGGTTCGAATCGTTTCGTCGAGTGCTGGAGTTGCAGATTTGTGGGGGTTCCATTTACATTAACGTCCACTTAAGTTGTTCCCAGTGCTTCCTCGACTTATCTTTTTACGGCCTCGACCATGAAAACCCCAAAGGCCATGAAAGTAGTGTCCCTCGACCATAAAAAAGGAGAGTCATATGGAATCTTGGCCAAGCTGTAACACCCTGGCCTTCCTCGACCACATGTTGGACCAGAACAAAAGACACGGGCTGTGAACAAAATGTACGGCCCACTTCCGTATGGAGATCTCAAGAGTGCACATGGTGCACCCGTGGAAGCGCAGCTTGCCACAGGCTCCGCGTGTAGTTTCAGTGGCTCGCTGATCAGGTGAAGTTACATGGAGGGTTCCGTCCTGCGTGCTTTTCCGAATGACAGTTTTATCTGTAGGCATGATTAAAAAAGACGTGTGGCTATGTGACAGATTAAATACAGCAGTATGCCTGTGCCTGACCATGCAGCCCATTGCCATCCTTGAATGCAGAGCTTTCTGCTCTTTTAGCAAAGGTCTGAACACTAATTCAGCGGCAGCTTTTCAGCAGTTAGCTCAAGATATCGCCAGTCCACATCCCTGGCTTCAAAACAAAATACATGCTCTGGACAATGACATGACCGTGGACAAACCACAGGAAAGACGATACAAAGGCGTGGAAAGGCTAATAAAAAGTGTGGAAGGGATATCAAAAAGCATGGACAATCTAGGACAATATGCAGGGCAACCTTCAATTGAAATGGTTGTGCTTCGTGTGCTGGGCTGGTGCTGCGCGCAATCGTTTCCGATTCGTTCCTGTTTGACACTCTTTTCATGCATTGTTGAGGCTCAAGTCATGTCACCTCCTTGGCTGAATGCCTCTATGAAAACTATATTGAGGAAACACGGGGTACGCAAGGTCTCACTAAAGAAATTGCTGCGCTTCTGTGAGCAGCAATGCTATTTACTTCAGGCAGGCAAATTGCAATGTTGAGCATTGCAACGAATTTAGCCAGTTGGATGAAACATATGCCCAGAAAAAATAGCGGCATGCAAGCGCCCAAAGGTATAATCTTCATGAAATCGCACCATATAGCCTGTAACCATCTTATGGTTGAGCTACCTCGGCCACACCTTGGACCGCTTTGGGAGACCAGGGAACACTTGGATTAGGATCACTCCCAGCTCTCAGTTCCATCACTTAGATTGGGATCAATGTTCGGCGGCTTTGAGATGTATCCTTGATCTGGCTACGAAGCTTGTGTGTCTGCTGGTGTTTGTTCGGTACACTTGCTTGTCCCCGCAATCGACTCGAGCTTCGCAGACCGTGTTGTGACCACCAGTGCGGCTTTACTTGGAGCAGGAGAACTCGCCCTAGTTCATATATGAGGGCCTAAATAACTAGAATTGGGGGGCGTCCTGCAGAAGCCTTTCAATTCATCAGTTCTCATTGGGACATATGTTTGTAGCTATTTTGCCCCGTGTGTCATCCCAGTGAGAGCCTACATTTCTGGGTGGCACAGGCCTCCAAGTAGCTTGCTGAAAACAAGTGCGTCATTGGAGCCAAGTCTGATATGGGGAAGCAAAGGGATCTGAATATTTGTTTTTTTGTTTGTTTTATGTTTGACTGGTGGCTTGCAAGTCGGAGACACTGTGCAAGTGCCAGACAACGAGTACTACATTCCACCCACGGAGTTCGATGCGAATTTCAAGACCTTCAATGAGGACATATCCAGCACCGCCTCTTGGTTTCATTCTTGATTTTGCCCAGATGCCCCAAGATGGCCAGGATGATCAAGCAGGGCCGTATGTTCCCCACTCAATACTCCGCATGATAGGTAATGGTGGGAAATTGCACTTTGGTCGATTAAGTGTCACGCCTTTTTGCAAAGCTTCCCGCCTCGGTTGGGAAATCGACCCTGGGCCTGATGAGGTGTCCGAACTATGGTGTTTAAGCGAAACTGAAAGGCAATCCTGAAGGTTAATTTTGACCCCATATTAATCAAACCCTGTTTATTCATAGGGGGGGTGCTCCCCTCCAAAAGTGGTCTGATTCCCGACTAAACCCAGGTACACCCCCCTATTACTAAACTGGGGTTGAGAATATAGGGTCAACATTAAGGGTTCCCTATTTTGACACAGACCGTTACCCTTACTTCGCCACTGAGTGTTTCGCCTACGTGTTGCCAGCCATTCGCCGCCCCAGCTGTCATCTCAGGGAGCGCGAAGACCTTTCCGAAACTTTTTGTTCTGCGGATGGCCGCGCCACAGTATCCACTTGGGGGATGCAAGAGAAGCACTCCACTCTGCAAAACATCTTGGCCTGGGCGCTTCCAGCAAGAAGCGCATATATGTTTGTTCCTCCCCAAAAGAAACCGAAAGGGGGGCGGGTAATTTGTTCAGTTTGTCAGGCCTCCAATTTATGCTATTGAGAACCAATGCTTGTCCTTTGCAAATCACTGCTTATTGATTGCTTGCTCCCAAGTTTCTCGCTGTTGCAATCAACTTCGGGAAGCAACGCATGTTGTTTCCTTTTAGAGGGTAATTTGCCAGGAAAGACAAGACACTCCCAACTACACATCTTGATCATTTTTTAGCAGTTGCCATCAGCAACTTACACAGAGGTTGCAGCTGGAGGAACCGGCTGAAAGCTGTGGCTCTCCCATTTTGGATCGCTTGAGGCAACACTGGTAAACCCCACGGGGCCCTTAAGAACCGAAGAAAAAACACCGCACGACGCGCGACGCGCGGACTGCCTCCCAAGGTTTGGTTGCACCCTGACCAAGATATGAGCAGCGTGATCCAATCTCTCGAAGCCTCGGATTGGCTGAACTCCGAAACCCAACACTGGAAGGCACGGATTGATTCAGGTGAGCTCCCGCGTGCGTGCTTGCCTGGGGGGAGGGAGGGCGCAAGCTTGCGTGCGCGCGTGTGCTGTCTCTGTGTATGTGTGTGTATGGGTAGGGTGGGTGGGTGTGCATGCGTGGGTGCGTGTGGGTGTATGTGCGTTTGTGTGAGTTCGCGCGTGCGTGCGTGGGTGCCTAACGATTGGAGAACTGTTTAATCGAACAGGGGGCTTCACATGTCCCTCGTCACATGTTCAACAGTTGTTTGCACGTTTGATGCTATTTGTAAGGAGAAGGCTGAAAACAAGTGATGCAAGCAACTTGCCTCAAAAGGGTGCGTATTTTTGACCGCCCGATGCCAGCTGACTTTGGTGACCTACAACCCGGACTACGACATTTTGGTTGTGACTGGCATACACTTTCAGCTGAGCCGTTCCGGGCGGATCTGGAAGAACATCACCTTCATGTCCCTGGGCTATGATACCATGCCTTGGCGTGAAGTTTTTTTTAGCGTTGACCGACACGTGTGAGTGTGTGAGTGTGTGAGTGTGTGTGTGTGTGCGCGCGCGTGTGTGTGTGTGTTGGTGTGTGTGTGTGTGTTGTGTTGTGTTGTGTTGTGTTGTGTTGTGTTGTGTTGTGTTGTGTTGTGTTGTGTTGTGTTGTGTTGTGTTGTGTGTGTGGGTGCGCGGGTGCGTGGGTGCGTGGGTGCGTGGGTGTGCGTGTGTGCGTGTGTGTGCGTGTGTGTTTCTGTATATGTGTCTGCGCGTGTGTGCGTCCATGCGAGTGCGTGGCGTGGTGTGGTGTGGTGCGTTGTGGTGTGGTGTTTTGCGTGGTGTGTGTGTGTGTGTGTTTGTGTGTGTGTGTGTGTTGGTGTTTGTATTTGTGCTTGAGGGCATCCTTGTTGAGGTTGTTTCGCATGGAAGTGAACCGCACTTGTTGGAGTTGAATGTAGGTCTTAGACTGTGAGCGGTTTCTCATTATTTCTTTTTGCCACTGCCAGTTTTTCTTGGTTTGTGTTTTCTCAGACAGGAAGCCCCGTTTGGGCCGGCGCGTGGGACAATTAAAGACTTGTTGTTTTCCCTTGGTTCCCTTCAACGCCGAACGGACAGAAAGACATCTATCCACGAGGTGTTCTTGGGCTTATCGGCTCTTTTTGGCTTCCAACAACAATTCGGCCCCGTTTGTTGTTGGCACATGGAGTGTTTCTTTGCTTGCTTGCGCTTATTGTCACAGCGCGAGGTCCTTGAAGATGCAACCCTACGCAAACCTGTGGTCTTTGTGCTGGGAGATCCTTTTCTTCGGCTCCATCGTGACCATCTTCGTGGAAGAGCTCTGGGAGGTCTCCTCCAGAAACATGGCAGAACATCGTTGCCAGTTTCCGGGACGATGGGGATTCCCTGACCACCATTGAAACCATGGAGGTTCTAGCCGGCATTGCTTACCTTTGACGTTTCATCATCTAGCTTAGGTCAACCGTCAGTATTTGACTCGGTCAAAACCTAGGGAGGAAGGGTCATGTCTCATAATGCCCACAACTCGCCGACAGGCGATCCGCGAGGCCCAAACAGACAGCCAGGCAGCGTATCCCGACAGACAATTTCAGGTAGACAAACAGACAGGCAGATTGCAGACTAAACAAACACAAGGGCAAGCAACCGCGCAGCCCAACAGAACACAAAAGCAAAACTTAAAATAAGCACACCAAGCAACCAAGCCTTTTTCTTGGCACCCAGCGCCTTCCGGAGCTCACACTGTGTCTGTGCGTCTGTGGAAATGCCTTCAGAGGTTGGATCAATAGATTTCAACAGGATGTCTCTACAGGCGAATTGCTTGCTTGCTTGCTTGCTTGCTTGCTTGCTTGCTTGCTTGCTTGCTTGCTTGCTTGCTTGCTTGCTTGCTTGCTTGCTTGCTTGCTTGCTTTGCGTGCTTCCTTGCTTGCTTTTGTGTGTGTGTGTGCGCCGCCTAGCGGAATAGGTCAATTCCTTGTTTCCACATGGCCACCCACAAAAAAACACCCTGCAACGCAAGAAGGTCGTGTATTGAATTTGCCCTCCTCTTTCTCGCTTCGTGAGGGAATTGCGCCACACCGTCGCAGCTTGTTGGTCTACCACTACAGTGGTATTCCCAAAAAGCATCAAGTCCAGATACTTGGAAAGTCAGTTTCAGACACGGCCATCCGACTTGCTGGCAACCAGCGTCTTCGGGTTGGTTTGATGCAACCAAAAAGAAGACCACAATTCTCGGTCTCGCCCTATTTGGACGTACCTAGTGTCTCGAAACAAAGGCCTCAGTTCGGACGGTCCCGAGGCCTTTGCGCGGCTTCGTCGCGGGGGCGTTGCCGCTGCTTTTACTTCCTCAGGCGAGCGAGAGACTCGCAGCTTGGGTGTGTCTAACATCCGGGACCCCCAAAATGGGTGGGTCTCCTTTGGTATCCCTTCAAACCGACCCCAAAAGCGTACCCTCAAAAAATCATATATAGAAGATATGTCATAGAGTTCAGCTAAGCAATGACAAGATTACTCTCAAGTGATCATGATTGGTTTATACACCCCATGCTATTGGCTCAGTACAGTACACGTACAGAATGCGTATAAGATACGGAATGCAATCTACAGAATATATCTTCAATCATGGCACCTCTCTGGCAACTCTCTGGCGTCCCCCATTTGGCGCTCGTCGAATTGGAACATTGTATGACTCAAGCGTGTAGGAAGGTGTCTCTTCAGGCCCCGATTGCTTGAGTACACTGTTTGCGTTTGTTTTGGTTTTTGAAACGATCGTACCTGCTATGAACAAACAAGCCGGAACGAGCGTCCCGCACCGAGGGAGACACGATACGCATATGTGTGAACAATTATACATATATATATATATAGATAAAAAAACACATAAGACACACACACACACACATCTCCTCATATTTTGTTTGCCAGAGTGTGAGATGGGGACGCAGGGCTACGTGAGATTTCGGCAGCCAGCTGGCGTTCTGGGCCGCCTGGGGTATGGGGTATGGGGTATGCCTCTGCAGGAGCTATTTCACCGTGTGGAACCTTGTGGACTGGACCTCCATCGCCATCGCCTTTACCCTGTTAGGCGCGGGAGAGCGGGGGCGGGGACGGGGATCCGAAGCTGTACGGGTTGTTGTTTGTTTTTTTCTCCAGAAATCCAATCAGAAAATGTGTTTTGGTGGGAAAATGTTGGGAAATCTACATGAGTTAATGGTTGACCCGAAGTGAGTAGACATCCAGTCCAGCATGCCCTGACTCAATTGTGGAAATTATTCTAGCAGTTCCTCAGCTGGAAACGTGGGACTAAGACCAGGTGTTGAATCAACGTGCCCTGGCCACCATGAAATGAAAGGGGCGCCAAACCGACAAGGGTCAAGCAATTTGTGTCTAAATCTAGGAGGGCATCCTCCGGGTCACTTCCTGGAAATGGATCTAACTGCCAAAGCAATTCAGAACTAGATTTGCACCTTTTGAAGTAGTGTTGCCACAAAGCATTGTCTCTAAAGAATGCTGATTTGGTCACTTCCTCGGTAGATTTGCACCGTGTGAAGTAGTGTTGGCACACAACACTGTCTGTAAAGCAAGCTGACGCTTGTCACTTCCTGGAAATGGATCCAAAGGCAACAGCAATTGAACATTGTCCCTTTTAAAGTGCTATTGCCAGCAGTCAAAACTGCCCGTACATAAAGCTAAGCTGCAAATGGATCAAATACAAAAGCATTTCAATCATAGATGTTAACACCTTTTGAAGTAGTCATGCTGCCAGCCGTTGGCCCTGAGTAAATCTAATGATTGGAGCCACTTCCTGGAATTCGAGCACAAAAGCACTCCACAAAAGTTGTGCCTGTTTCAAACTGCATTGCAAGAAAAGACTGTCCCTAAACCAAGCCGAAGTAGTATGGCCAAGCTTCCTGGGAGCTGGTCCACTTCACAAGTTGTATTGTCAAAAACCCACTTCTAGGCCGCTTGCTGAATGAATCCTGCTAAAAAAGCTGGTCAAAAGTAACCTTGGACTATTATCCGTTTCAAAGTAGTCTGCCCGGAATCTGACCGTAGTACAGAACAATTGAATTGTAGTATTGTTTGAGCTCCAGTTTCCGCACCCCAACTTCAAAACATAAAGTCACTTCGGATAATCTGGACAAAATCGCTCGAACCAGAAATTCTGGGCGAGCTCCTAGCGATTCCACGCGGCTTCCGAATCTGCGCGGTTCGAGAAGACACAGAGCTGCTCCAAGCGAAGCGGAAGCGAGCACTTCCGGTTTCGGCTTGCCGGATGTTCCGTTTGCAAACTCGCTGAGATGTTCCACGTGCCAGTGCACTGCAGGGGTACTTGGACAGCCATGCTATGAGGGCCGGAGCTTCGTGAAGGGCTCTCTTTGTGCCGCTTGGTTCCAAGCTGCAAGCCACGATGCGCAGCCTACGCGCTGCGACTGACCTGGTTTTTGCCGCCAGAGATCTCGGCTGTCATTTCGCACCAGTCATTGCACCCTTGATCGCAGCAGGCTTCAAACTGTCCCTTGGAGGTGGCTAGGTCAAAGCGTGGACCAGTTTAATGGCTTTAGGATGGGAGTGTTCGTCGACAGAGTCCCAGGCATTCTCGTGATTCCGCACCAAGAATTCTACCCTAACCGTCCTGGCCCTGTTTTCCCCGTGGGTTGACACATGACTCCAGGAACACACTCAGCGCGTTGTCGGACGTGTTCCCCCCCTGAAAGATGGACTGTGACAGGGGAGAGAGGGGGTGCGAGGGCTTAGTTATTTTCAGGATGGCGTCGCACGGAAACATCGGGGAATCATCGGAAGGCCCGACATTTGCCATTTGTGGAGCTACTTGAGACGCATTGGGTCCTTTGAGCTGGTTCCGTTCACCACCTGTCCCGTTCGAGGAGCGAATATCTTCAAGCAATGCAGGACATGGTTGTGCAGTTTCGCAATGCAGGGCTTCCACAAAAACACGATGACTGCACTCCCTCAGACTAACATGGAAGCTGTTAGAGGCCTCGAATGGAACCAAGTCTTCCAAAGGGGGAGCTTCCACATTAGTCTGGGGGAGATTAGCGAGGCCGAACCCAACACAGAGCTTTTGTTGGTTTGGATCTCTCGGCTTCTCGCAGGCATGTGGATCATGAGCCTGTTTGCCCGATCGGACCTCCAGGCAAGCGGGCTTATCGCATTGCATGTGCCAAGCCATGGCCAGTTTCACGGGCGGTTCCACGTTTCTATAGGTGTGGCGATGTCAGCAGAACCAAAAGTCAACGGCGCTGTTCAGGTTGTAATTTGCAAGCAGCGAGGCGACCAGGCCTCGAAGTGTGGCCGCAATGTGATACTTCTCACAAATCTCACAGTGGTGGGTTTTGTGTTTGTCGGGGTGATGGCAACACGTAGCCATTTTCCAAACGTTTTTGAGTTTGCCGGGGTTCATCCAGACCATGCAGCAGGCCACTTCCCCTGATTAGATTTAGATGTCTCCTTACTCTTGCAGCGGCGTGAGTGGCATTGGAAGAGGGAAGATGGCGACGGTCGAAGTCTATTCTAAGGATTTGAGTTTCCGGTGGCAGCCAAGGATTCTAGACGGGAAAATGGCTGTTCAAGCAAGGCTGGCAAGTTATTCACCCAGTCACGCATTAGAGGCTTCCCCAAGTCTAAGCCACCAAAGGTTCCAACCATGCTGGCCAAAGCTTGGTTGCTTTTTGGTTGGACCGAGCTAACATTTGAACGTTGTGGATCCTTTTGGAGAATTGGACAAACTTCCCACTACGGTGCCGTAGCTAGAATAAAACAATCACTTTGCGTGAAAACCAAAAGCAAGGAGCAACTCCCTCGTCCCTCAGGGACGGTTTGGATCGGCGGACAATTGGAAACGGTAGCATGCCCACCGCTAGCAGTGTTCATCCAAACCGCGCAGTGTTTTGGGTCATTGACTTTACAGGACATCTGCTCCCCCCCCTCTCAAATAATTCGGCGCCAAACAAAGGAAAGCGCCCAATCGTTTGAGTCTTTGTAGTAGCTCGTTTGTCAAAGGGGTGTGAAATTTGTGACAATTGGCTCTCTCGCACCACGCTTGAGAGGGAAAGCAAAGGGAAAACCGCCTTGTGGTGGATCCCATATCCCACAGATAGCGGCAACGTTTCCTCCCGCGGAGTGAATAATTTTGCCTGTGAGGGTGCTCCTGTAGGAAAAGGGGTTTGACGAGTTTTACGCGTGTTCCCCTAAAACTGGACTTTTTCGGTGGATGGGTAAGACAGATCATCTAAGAGAGCAGTTTTTGGCGAAGTTTCTCCCCCAATTCTCAGGCAACACTCCGGGCTCGGACCTCCATGCCGCCATGTAGATAATTTTGAGGAGACCCCAATTCCTCCCCGTGAAGGGGTCATTGTCTCGGCGTCATGGTTCGCAGTATGTTGAAACAGGATGCTTCTGCCTGACGTGCAAGCTATCACATCCCGGAATAGGTCCCGAGGACCTTTCATCAGGTTCAGGGTCCTTGGGATACATTTGGGCCAGTCAAAGGCCTTTTTTCCAAGCTGATTTGGAGGGTTTTAAGCAGCTGGTGTTCAAGATATATCTTTCTACCGGACCCCAGTTCGACAATCGCCGCTTTGGTCTCGCGGAATCCGCGGAATAGGATGTCCTGGGCCAAAACATCGTCGAATGTGGATCGGGGGGCAGCAACTGTGAGTCGCTCACCGGTGGCTCGGCGGATCAATCATGATCAGACCAGCTTGGCAGCCAGGGTCTGTCGTTTTTTTCAGGCTCGGTATGTTTTAAGAGGCAACCAAAAGGGACACCGAAATCTGTTTGAGCTTTGGTGTCGCTGTTTTGGCACATGCCGAGTTTGGTTGATTTTGGTTGAACCGGTTGAACTGGCCCCTCCTTGGAGCAATCACATATTCTTCAAGTGCCTTCTAAGGAGGTACTGTTACCCTGCTTTGCCCGAAGACCAGCGGAGGCTTGGATCCTCTGGGAACAGGTCCACAGATTCGGAGATGTTTCATCGAGTGGCGACAGCACATAAACTGTCCACGCTGTCCCAGAGCTTTGCCGAAGACAGCTGAGAGCAAACAAGCTGCACGGAGTGAAGTTCCTCCCTAGGATGGTTTCTGAACGGTTCTGTGCTTGAGTACAATTTGGATTTACAGGCTTAGTCAGGGTTTTTTTAGACAGAGTTCTACTCCCAGACCTTCAGTGGTGCGCTGTTGCGATTCCTTTGGAGAGGGTTCCTGTGGGAACTCAAAAACCGAAAAGAAGGACGCCCTTGTTTCTCATGAACATCCACTAAACGTGCGGGTACCCCTACCGGCGGGTAACCCTAAACTTGGCGGTTCCCAGCCAGACCCTTAGACTTTTAGCGTTTTAGGGTTTCGAGGGATGTATGACATACCAAGGGACCCACGAACCACTGCGCGGCTAAATACAGACCAGAATGAAGCATGTTTGGTGTTGGTTGGGCTGATAGATGAAATCCAGTTCAACCCAGCTGGGACAGGCCTATGAGCAGCAAAATGTCCTTCATCCAGTCACTTGCCCAAAGCCGACCTTTTTGACATGTTTGGTTTTCATACTGTGGACGCGCGAGAACCTGCAGCGCCTAAGAAACCCTGAAATCCTGATTCCCCAGTACATGCCAACAAACTATGGTTTGACATGGTTTCCAAGTGGTGCGAAATGGATTTCGTCTTTCGTATCATTGACCCCGGATTGATTGACGCCAGTTAGTTAATGGAGGTGCCCCTGGGTTTAGTGGGGAATCCTCACTTTTGGAGGGGAACACCCCCATCCCAATAAACTGGGTTGATGTACTAGGGTGAACATTATGTTGTCATGAACCCCTAAGCGGGGGGCTATGGGGAGGGGGGGCTATCCTTTGTTAAACCCTCAATAAGGCCTTATCCTTGGCTTATCCTCTTTTCCAGGGATAGCACCCCCCCATGCCCTAGGAGTCCATGATGTTGTCAAGGTTCCAAACGGTTGAGGACCGAGTCTAAGGCGATCTGCTGGCCTCCGCCGTTTCCACTGGGACCCTCGTGGGCAGGACCAGCCTGGCATCCAGCCTCAAGTGGGGGGACATCGAGTGTGGACGCAACATATGCGCAATTGCATATGCATACATATAGTAGTATATGCACATGTAAATGTGTATGTGTATGTGGAAGGCTTCCCCCGCAGGGCCCAGCTTTTCACAAAGAACACAATATATATATATATATATACATACATTTATACGTACA